CATAGTCCTTCCTGCACAAAGTTTGCTTCTGCAGTTGAACTGAGTAAGTTTCCCTCACAACTCCATTTAGGCATAGGAAGCAGGAGTATAGAGCTTCTAGGTCAATTGAAAAAAGAAGATAAGAAAATTACCTGGGAATACACTGCAAACAGTTGTGTGTTTTCTCACGTTTTGAAGATTAGCTTAGTATTGCCTTAGTCCATGCTAAAATGCCACAAAGGAAATGTGCTGTTATTCATTCTGGCAATAATCCTCTTTTCCGTTCCGGCTTGGGAGGGACTCCTTTCTCATAAGTCAACATTCCCAGTGTTGTAAGAAGCATTTTAGGAAATAGCGATCATATTGTGTTACCTGACAGGACTTTAACCAGCTGTATGTTTAATTATTCACTGCACCTCACAGGCAAAATCAGCAAGTGAGGGGTATCTTACAAAGAACAGCCTGTGATTTAGTTAGAGTCCTGGCAGAGATTTGTGACTTTTTCCAACAGTCTGCCTTCAGGTCTTTATGTTCTTGGCCATCTCCTGCCGCCATTTCAGTTTTGGAGTTACTATGTTTCAAATGCAGCCTGTGAAGTGTAACAGGGATTCCTCTTTTGCTTCACCACAGAAAAGGCTTGGCTTTTTTTTCTTGTTTTAATCTGATTGTGATACAAAACCTCTTTCTTTCTTACTAGAGAAAAACAGGAAACACCTTTATAAACTATTCTGAAAGCCTTGTGCGTAGTGAGCTGTAACTGTTGATTAGTAAAAGGCAGCTACAGCCCAGGCTGTTCACAGCAGAACATGTCGTTTGTCACCACGGTGATGTTTCTGTGCAGCCAACAGCATTCTGGCGGTTGTGCAGTTTTCCTGTACAACAGAATTACTGAAGCAGCTTATGTATAATAAGCTCTGTGACTCTATGTGTCACAAATACTGTTCAGCAGTCTCTGCATATGTAAACATTATCCATGTATGTTAGATGTTCTGATGTTTTGTCGCATTTAAAGAGCACAAATCTATTTCTTGCCAACTTGTGATGAGTGAATGTCTATTTTGATTTTCATTTTTTAAATTTTTTAATCTATTACTGTCTCACTCAACTTGAAAGCAGATTATTCTCCTGCTGTACTATTGAAACATGAGTGGTCTGGTCTGCCCACGAATTTTAAGTGATGTGTTCTTAGTTTGGAATTAGCAATAAATAATAGTTTTATTTTCATACGTTATATCTAAGAAAGGTTTCTGTGAAAGGAAGGGGTTAGCATCTCTCACTTTACTAGAAGCCCTATTCTGTCTTCTAGGCTTTCAGTTACCATCCTTACAATCACTTCCATTTCTTTCTTCATTTTCATCAAGGAGCTAGTTAAAAACATGTCTAACAAGGACACGTTTCTTTTGAGATGTACCCACTTTCCACCTGAATAGCTTTGGAACAAACATCTGCAAGTCCCCTCCTGTCTTTCAGTGACTCATCTTGATAACTTTTTGTCTGCAGTCCAGGTAGCACAATTCCATCCACAAAGTAGTTTTGCCTTTTAACTACTAGCTGATCATTCAAACAAAAAAGCAATGCTTGCTGTGTTATCTTTGAGTCTGCTAAATAGGTGAATAAGCTTTCTGTATCAAGTAGAGAAGTATTACTTATAGGTCAGGAAGCTCAAGGATGTACTCGTAGCTTGGCGTGCCCATAGTCAAATAGAAAACCTGTAGTAGTTGCAGGAGCGGAACCTCTGAGTTCCACCTCCACCCTCTCTCTGTGCCTTAATCTTCAAAAATACTCTTTGCTGTCATAGGAGGGGCTTTATGCAAAACACTTTTTATTCACTAACAGTTAAAATAAGCTGTTTCCTATCACCTGTTTTTTTTCTTGACTACCTGCCTTTTAGAAGCTGGCTTTTGCTTCTCAAACCAACTAGATGTTAAGTCAGCATTAGTTACACGACTTTATTACTCACGTTTGCTTTGCAACTTCATTTGTCACATCAAATGTAGCCCAGAAACATCCATTTACTCCAAATAGATTTTTGTCTCTGCTCAGTCATCCTTGTTTCAGATTAGTAACCCAAGAGACCTGGGTGAAAAAGTATTGTTTGATATTTCTGGGATGTGTCTAAGGAGCCTACCAAAGACAAGGGCATGTTCCCTTGGAGGGGAAATCCTGTTCTTCCAAGTTTGCTAGGAGTTTCAAAGTCTTTTAATAGCTGAATTTTGTTTTGCTTGCAAAATGACTGTTTCTTAAACAGGGATGCAGGAGGCAGCTAAGAGGGAAAATGTGTTCTTCCTTTCTCTTGCTTTTATGTGATTTGTCTCAGCTGCTTTCTGAAGACTGCAGTCATGGAGTGGACTTCCATCAGCCAAACATCCTTTTGTTCACAATTCCTTTCTCTCAGCACATACTAAGGGAACTGAATGGAGGTTCTTGCTGGCTATCAGTGTTATCTGTTGACCTGCAGTACCAGAAGGAGCTGCAGCCTTGTGGATGAGAACTGTAAAAAGCATCCTGATTCATGTGAAGGTTTTTATGGAATGCCTTAAAAGTTGTTAAAAGTCTGTGGTACTAAATAAGATGGCAGAAACAGCTAGATTTAGGCTTGTGGTTGTTTCATATGACTGACAACAAGCAAAAATGAAGCTTATCTGATTCCTGCTACCTCCTTGTTGATGATTGTTCCACTTTGCAGGCTGTTCTCTGGTTAACAGTGTGTTAGCACAGTAAGAGTCCTTCAACATGGTGTGTATGTTGTGGAGAGCTGTTAAGGGAAAAAAGTCTGACTTGATGATGAATATTGCCTGGCATCACATCAAAACTCTTACAATAAGCATTAATAACTAACGATATAGGTTTGCAGGGGAAGTTCATTGGGATTCATCAATAAGCAACTTGTGTTGATACAAGGTGCTGTACATTCTCCAAATTCCATTGGGGAATACCATTAGGAGAAAAACAATCTGTTGGTGTCCATCATTGGGATGCCATCAGGCTGTGCAGTATCTTTCTTCGCAGACAGTCGTATCATATGAGGAATATATGCAGTGCAACCTGTAGGCATCTTGACACAGAACACGTCCTACAGGATTTGCAGGGATTTGCATGAGTACACAGATGCCAGGTTTGGAAAATGTAATGATAAAACTCCTTTTTACCTTTCTCCCTCGACATGTTTCCACTTCTGAAGCTGTTCTGAAGCTTTAAGAGTGGAGCTAGGCTGTAAGTGAAGAATTGCTTTGTCACCACTGCAGCTGATGCAGCAGTAATTCTGCAAAAGATTCTGTCTGGATTTTGAAATATATATTTCTTGGTTTCTCTGCAGCTGTTGCCCTTCTGCCCTTTAATGTTATCTTGCCTCTTCACTCCTGCTTGCTTTAGTGCATTTTGGAGGGGATGGGGGAAAACTTCCTTTTTTAATTTCCCTATTTAGTCTCACTTGTTCTTTTCATGCTCCGTATTTCTGTGGTGACTGTCAACACCAGTATTTTAAGTGAGGTCTGTTGATCTGGACAGCTTCAAGTTTCTGATGTCATTCAGCCTGGTCATTAATGAAGCTGCTCTTCAGTTTTCCTGAAATTATCTTTGCACGCAGACTTTCCAAGCTGAGATCATTGAACTGCACTTTTCCTCTCACAGTTTACTCTGACCTTATAATTAGCAATCGATCCTGCTTATACAAACAAGTAAAACAAGAAATACCATTCACAGAAAGGTTAAAGATACTAATAGAACCAGAAGGTGTCTGTTAGTCTTTCATTTTATGTGTGTAAATAAAATATAAAGCTATAGCTTGTTCTGAGCTGATGAAAGTGTGAATTGAATATCTTTCTGCAGTATATTGTGAGAAGCAGAAAGCTCGAGCAGACAGCCCATGGCCTAGGAGTACAGTTCTGGCTTCCCTTCCTGGCTTTAGTTAGTTGCATTGCAAAAGTTACTTCACAAAGCTTTGCTTAAGCCAATTACTGCTTGGGCAGGGGGAGGGGAGTTTCCAGACAGGTCTTTCAAAATGAGCTTTTGAAATAATTCTATGAAGGCTTTGAGCAGTACTGAAAAGGTAAAAACATCAGTTTCCAAGCTGAGAGCAGCAAGTGTCTATCCAGCCATTTCAATGAGCCCCTTTGAAATTGTGTCACTTTTGTACTTGAGCAGAATGTGGGCACTGTAACAAACCTGTTTTGTGCAAATGTGATGCTTGAAATGTTTTAGCTTTCACAGAACAAATCCTGCCCACTCCCAAACCCCAGCTGTTTGATGTAGGGTGCAGCACACACAAGACTGCTGTGAAACTTCATTTGCTGCTGCCTGTCTTTAAAGTTGTGCCAGCAACCACACAACTTGACTGTTCCACTGAAAACATTCAGAGCTGTTGTTTGTTGTCATAAACTCCTTAACAATCTCAAAGTGTGACATGATGATAATACATAGCTGTCTTATAATACATCTGTGTTGACAAACGCATGTCCCAGTTTTACAGTCACAATCATAGAATCGTAGAATCACAAGGTTGGAAAGGACCTGCAAGATCATCTAGACCAAGTATCCTCCCATTACCATTGCTAAGCATAACTAGCATGACTGTGGGAAGTTTGGGTCCCTGTTCAGTCTTCTGTGGTTAGTGAAGAGCATTTTTTACCCTCAGTGGGTTCTAGCATTAGTGTCCAGTCACCTGCTGTCTGCCTGGCTGAAATTGGTAACAGATGAATCCTTCAGGTAACAGTGCAATTCTGGGTGTTTACTGCTATCTCTGCAGCAAGGCTTCTATTTGCAGTTCAGTACTTTGTTCTAGATTTCAAGTGGTAAATATTAGAATGCAGCACAAGAAGCTGCATAGATATGGGATAAACACTCAAAAATTGATCTTCTGATAAAATTTTTATTGTTTCTTCAAAGCAAAGCAGGCTTGCTCTGAAGACAGAATAGTGTCTATGCTTGCCTGTTTTACATGGCTGCAGAGATCAAATGCTAGATGAGTGACATTTTTCTGTCTATATAATTGCTTACAAGGTAATCAATAACAAGCAGTTAAATATAATAGGAGTATCTACTTATTGCTTCAGTTTTACATTATTGATAGATTGTGTATCTGAAAGTTTTCAGCTAGGCAATACATTATTTAAAAGCTTATTTAATACAAGCATGTAAGTTGTGAAGGCAATTCTGTGTTAATAACATATGCCCCATTCTATCCTGTTAGTCAAGTTTATATCCAACTTGGTTCTAATATGGAGCAGAGTAGTTAGAAAGACTCCCAATAAAATGCCAGACAACAACATTATGCCCATTTCTGCACATCCTATTGCTACAGGGCAGTGGTGGAAGTTCCTGTCCTTCAGGGTATTACAGCCAATAAAGGCTGTTTTATTTGCTAAAGAAAAGCTGTTGCTTTTTGGGAAAAGACTGTGGTGGCTTTCAGATGGCAGGCAGCAGGCTGGCTAGTTTCTCAGGTGGCTACTGCACGTTTCAGCAACTTGTGATGGCTGAAGGTGCTGCCTCAATCATGAGATTAAAAGCTATCTTTGTCCCAGCTGCTCCTGCAGTGAAATTCCAGCAGTTTTGCTTCAGTTTTGGTAGAAAACAGACAGAACTCCAGCCATGTGAAAAAGAGGCAAAAGCAGCTTGCTCACTCTCTTTTCTTTTTATCTTTCCCTAGAGTACAGTCCTGAAATAGTTAAGTTGTTACATCAGGAGAAATTCATTTGGTTCAACCTATATTTAGTTTACTGGAAGAACCTTTAGGTTGTGAAATGTACACTGTGTGTTCTTATCTTTGTTCTAGAATGAAATATTTAAAAGAGGAAACATTTTCAGTAATGTTCCAGGAATCTTTGAATAAAGGCTGTGCCTAATCAGCGTGAATGGTTAAAATTTGAGCTCTCAGTCCCTTGAAAACAACAACTTACTGCTTTGATTCAAATTCTGCTCTGCCTGCATTCAAGCGTTAAAACCAGAACCTCACACCACAGTAAAATAAATGGGTATAGGGGAATCCCCGGGTGTCAGGGTGCTGCCGGAGGGCTCCCTTTCTCTGCTAACAGCACAGCACACCCCGTGCCTCCTGTAGTGGGCTAGGAAAAGTTATCCCTTCTTGCAGGTTTAAATAGAAAGAGGAGAGGACAGTCTATGTAAAACCACTGTTTTTCTGGTAGGCTTGAGCAGACAGAATGTTGGCATGCTGCAAAATCCATTTTGGTTGGCCTCATTCCTGAGCCAAACTAACCAAAATTGATGTGTGTTTTTGCCCATTTTCAAGCTTGTTACAAACACTTCCAAGCGAAATTCTGCCTTAGGTTACATCTAATGTTCACTTTTGCATCACTGGAAACGATTGGCAGTATTGCTTCAAATGTCTTCACCACGATTAGGGATTTACAGTAATAAATAGCAGCAAGATGGCAAATAAAGGCAGTGAATGTGTTTGACACAGAATCTGTCAGCACTTTCTTCTTACCATATGTGCATTAAAAAATGTGTCACCTCTCTGATTCAGGCACAATCTGTCCCTGTCTTCAGATCTTCGTATCTGTTATTGTTCAGACAGTAGCAGCATTTGCATGGTACAGCTCCCATCTGCAGGAAAGTGCTGCTTAAATATAAATCCTGCTCTATCATTTGAATCAAAGCTTGGGAAAACATTGCAAGTGCTGTTGGTTTGCATGAAGTTGACTAGCTAATATATATTATATTAAAATAAAAAATGGTAATTAAAAGTTTTGGTGCCAATCTTATTAAGTTTTGCCTTTAACAGACTTCAGAAATAAGTTAAAAAAAAAAAAACAACAAACAGAAGGTAGATAGGAAGTTACTGAACGTTGGAAAGGAGAATGCAAATGTAGGTAAAAATTTTACAGTAGTTCATTAGTCACTCTTTAATTTGCCTTACTGTCAGAGAGTAAAAGAACAATGCCCCTCTGTAAATGAGAAGAAAAGACAGTTTGTTAAAAAAGCAAAACCTTCTCGGCTGTGCTCAGGACTTCTCAAGAGTTTCCCAGTTGTCTGTTATTTTAATACATTTTTTTGTGTGTGCACTGTACTGGTACTTTGATTGTGTATGTGTGTTGGATTTGTTTTGTTTTACAGTTGTACAATTTTGGAGAGACAGTTTCTATAGTTTTCTGGACAGATACATGGAAGCCAGAAAGCTTTTTTGACAAGATCAAGAAGAACAGGCAGAATGGAATGCACACACTGTGCTTACTTGGTAAGCAGCAGCAGTCCCAGTTCCTTAGCTACCATCTTCCAACGTCCCAACAGGCATGAGATGAAGTCTGTGATTAAACAGAGGTTCTTAGATAACATATATTTGAAAATATCTCTTGAATTGGAACTTCAATGTTTGTTTACTTAAAATCAGAGTAGCCACTATTTATGCTGCAATGGCCAGAAATTTCTTAATTCCTCTTCAGAAAATCTATAAGAAATGATGCCTTTGTAGAAGACAAATAGGAACAGCAGGCCCATATTTGTTGTAATGATCAGAGTGATTTGAAGCTAGATCTAGCTCAGGATCCAGCCGAGATGGCAATGACTAGCAGCCATCTTTTATTGACTTAATTAGGCCAGAGCTTGACTTTCTGCGGAGCAAAACGGTACATTTAACCACATTTCTATTTTGTAAGTTGATATTGCCTTTCCTAAATTATCTCAGCTGATGATCTTTCGGCAAAAGATGATTGTCATGTAAAAAGCTTCTGGACTGCAAAAATTCTTGCTCAAAAACATCTGTGGTAACGGGAGGAATCCAGAACAGGAATATGTGAAATTATCACTGCACGTCAAACTTTTCAGTGCCTTCAATGCTGGCTGTTTTCCAGCTTTGTGAAGTATCAGCATATTGGCAATTGTTCTAAGGAAAGATGACTTCACAAGTGTTTGAAACAAGGGCTATTCCAGCCACAACATATTAAAACCAAATGTTATTCAGATTTTTCATATAATCATTTCTATGTGCTCCCTTTTTATGTTTTTTTTTTGTTTGTTTGTTTTTGTTTTTAATGCAGTACCAAGAGTGTGTTAAAATATTAAAACAATAAAATTGAATTATAAAACTCATATTTCAGGGACAGTTGTAATACCTGCATCTGAATGTAGCTAACTGCTGAAAACTACCAATCTCCAAGTGAATTGTTCCCTTAACAATGGTCATGTTGGTCCATCTATTGATTGCTAATCCAACTAGAAGCAGCAGTGACATAAAAAGGATCAGCTTCAGTACACTTAAAATTTCAAAGCAACTTCACTTACATGAACTGTGCACTAATAATCTTGCAGCTTTGCATTTTAAACCATTTCTTCAGAGTCCCCTTATTAAGCAATACTTTAAAATCAAGATTAAAAAAATGTATCCAGCTTTTACTACGATGTTATTTCTCAGGCGTTTAAGTACAGATAACATCAGATGGCCACTTGGAGAGATTATGGTCAAGTGCAGTTTCATAAACTTGCAGATGTTCAGAGTCTTACCTGGCCCTTTTTCTTTGCCCAAATCCTCCTTTTTCCCATAAGAGAAAGATTGTTCTAAATTTTGGTTGGGACAGTGAGGAAGTGCTAACGAAAGTTCAGTTCCTGCATGGAGGTGATGTAATCACTGTCCATCAGTCATTTGGTTTCACCTTCTGCAACCACAACATATTTATCATTTCAAAGTAGTCACAATACCTTGGTTGTGCCTAAGCACACAAGCATTTAGTTATCCTGTGGGAAATATGCCTACCGTTTTTAATACTTAGCAATATTTTTTATTGATCTTACCTGCTCCGAATTTTGTGATACGTTGTCTTTGAGCAAAATCACATGCACAAAATCACATTAATTTCTTTATAATTAACCTACGAAACAAAATGTAATCCGTATTCCACTTCCCTTTAAGATCTAGTATGTTGCTATAAAGTTTATAGAATATCCTAAACTAATCTGCACAGCTATATAGAAAACTAACCAGGAATTTTGTAAGGAACCTGTTTCATATACTGTTTTGTTCTACAGATATTAAAGTGAAGGAGCAGTCTCTGGAGAATCTAATGAAGTGAGTCACAACTTTGAAAATATATGGAAACAAACAATGGTACTTGTAAGGTTTTTTCTGTATAAGGAACAAAGGCTCTTTATCTGAAGCCTCATACTGAACTTACCTGTCTTCTTTTGCACTTCTCAGTGGTCATGGTTTTTTGTTTCCTCTAAGAAGTAGAATTTTTGTTTGTTACAATAGGAATTGGCTTTATTTTCAGTAAATGATTGAAGCTGCAGCAGAGTATAATCTTTGTTCCCAGGAGAAGCAGGTCAGAACGGGATAAGCTCTCTACCTGTCAGGCCAAAAGCTCTTTTATTGCTGTTCTGTCTCATCCAGAAGTAAATTAATATCATAAACTGTGTTCTGAATTCATTCCTCCTTACAGTGGCTAGAAGCAGTGTGAAGTATGGAATACATACCACTGTTTTTTAGCAGTTAAATAAGCAACATATAGAAAGTTCTCTTAAGTTCATTTAACTGTATCTGGAAGCTCTTGTCACACCTTAATCATCTCTCTGCAATCTGTATGCTTTGACACAGAATATAAATAGTTACTTTATACATATGCTGTACTCTGGTCTAAATTAACATTTGTGAAATCTCACGCTATCATTGAGGTTTGTTTATTTTAGAGTTTCAAAATAAAATCTGTTTGAATCCATAGTTGGCAAAGAAAGAAGCATTTCATTTAAAAATATAATGCTAGTCTGTAATAATCTGTGTACAAGGCATTCAACAGGAAAACAGTAGTTTGCCCTTGAATTTAAGCCGAATGCATCTTTCAGAAATAGTCCCAAAACCTGCACATTGCTTCCAGCAACTCAATTTGTTTTTAAGTTTCAAATGATGTAACAGATGGAGGCCCTGCTGTTTCACAGGTGTGAGAGAGCACAAGAGTCTTCTGTCTTCCTTAAAAATTCCACACTTGTCTCAAGGCCAGTCTGGAAGCCCGCGCCTGTTTAAGTTTGATTTGCTGGTCCACAGACTTCATTTGAAATAAGCTGTAAAAATACCAGGGATAAATAAATGATTTATATTTAAATTACTTTTCTTTCCCTGCAGAGGAAGGAAGATTTATGAGCCACCACGCTACATGAGTGTGAACCAAGCTGCAGAACAGCTTCTTGACATTATTCGGAACAGGAGACTCCAAGGAGAAGAACCAGGTACTACTATTGCAATGCTGTTATTTGCTGCTCCTCAGTTCTCATTTAGTGGTGAGTCACTGAACTCTACCACCTTCCTCTCCTTCTTAGCATTCTCTTGATCTGCAGCAGAACCAGAAGATGGATTTGGCAGAGCTTGAACAAAGTGTACTTAATTGAGCTCAGATGAACAAACACTAATGAACAAACACTTGCAGCTCCAGGAGATTTAGTTAAAACCTCAGTATGGTAACTACTGTTTGCTGTCCAGTTCTAACCGTGAGCTCTTTTAACCATTATAGTTGCAGGAGACTGCATCCAAGCATTTTAGATCAGTCAATCTTCAAAAATCTTAGCTACATGTTACTTAGACTGGTTACACTATACTGTGCACAAATCCCAGCATGAATCTGAGTTGCCCCAAAGCTGCAGGTCTGTGATTTTAGCCTTGAATCCTTATTACTTGTCAAGAGCCTGCTAAAGAGATGTTTATCAAGACCATAGCTGCTCTGATTTCATGTCTGAAGATGACTCTCTTCTGTCATAGTAGAAAAAATTAATAGAAATGTATCTGTACTCCTTTTAAAATATTGTCAAGATGAAAAGGAAACTTTCATTTTATCCTTTATGTGGAGTTTATCTGAAGCAGCAGTCTCCTCTTCTGAATGAACTGCTGCTGCCTTCCCTTTCCTGCTTCTCAATAGCTCTGAGATACACTGTTTATTTTCTTTAAAGAACAAGCTTCATTTTAAACTACTCTGATTGCTAACTGGAAATGTGAGAGAGTGGTGTTAAGGTTTGAACACAGAATAATTTATTAAACAGAGGAAAAAAAATATTCATTCTTGTGACAGTTGGAAATGGTCCCTGCAAGAATTTTGTAAGAATCACTTCTTTGATGTTCTTTTTTACAGAAATCAGTGAAAACACAATTTGTGTTGGCCTCGCACGTGTGGGTGCTCCTGATCAGAAGATTGCTTCAGGCACACTGTATCAAATGTCTACAGTGGAGCTGGGTGGTCCACTGCATTCCATGATCGTTACAGGCACTATGCATCCTCTGGAATTAGAAATGCTTAAACTTTTTTCTGTAGATACTTCCAATTTTGAAAATAATGCATTTGAAAAGACCAGTTAAATAAAAATGATACTGAATTTTTTATTTTGTCATTAATTTCATGCCAGCACACAGTTATTTCTCTGAATATTTAGAGCTTGCTTAGATCAAATGAATTTAGATTGTATACAGCTGCAGGAGATAACACTGTAAGAACATGGACTTACTTTAACCTGAGGCTACAAACTGCAAGATACATCTGCTGATATCAGTTTTAAACAAGTAAAGACATCTCCAGCAGTCTTTAAACCTTAAGAATGCTTTGCTTAGTCCAGTTCCTTGGCATCTGCATCTGCCTTAGGCTGATGACCAGGGATAAGGTGCACAAGTATAGAACTGCTGGACCAGATGTGTATGCAGCACCACTTCTGCTGTAACAGAAGAATCAAGCCTACTGCATGCAGTGCATTTTAGATGTTAAATGTTGCTTTTCGACTATCCCACCAACTGAGTAATTCTCCCATCAGTAGAAAATTGAGAACCTGTTAGTCTGTATTCATTTTTACACCTGAGAGAAAGAATACAGATGAGAATACTCTACGTTTACAAGAATTCATTCTCCAGCCAGCTGGTAAAACAGAGGAAGGAACTGCACAGAATTTCTTATTTCAGGAGGTTGCCACTTAAAATAGATCTGGATTTCCTCACACATTAATGCTAGCATTTATGAAGTGTTAGAATCAAACTGCAACAACCACAGTTGAATTACCATCAACTCAAAAAAAGCAGACTCCAAAAATTCTCTTCAGAATCAGCTGGTCATACATACTGTTGAAAAAAAACCAGCAGACCTGTATGCATTTTTTCTTTTTTTTTAACTGAAGATTTATTGGAAAGAAATTTGATCCCATACCTTGTCAGCAATATAGGACATTTAACATTTCATATAGACTGTATTCAAGTAGAAAAGATTACATTAAAAATTTCTAATATTGCACTTGGGACCAGTAATGGCTAAGCTACTACATCAGCATTCCAGAACAAAATCATATAGAGTCTTCAGAACTTTAGTGAGCTGCCTTGCATCATCCTTTAGATTTTCTTTACAGGTATTTTGATACTGTACTATTCAATCTAAATTCATTGCAAAGAACGTTCTTGTAGTTGAAAGTTAAAGGCAAACAAGCTGTATGCAAGCAATGTTTTATGCTACCCAGAACGATTTTGGCAGTTTCTTCATTCACATTATTCCACACTTCAGCCACAGTACTGAAGCAAATCATTTATCTCTTGTTTAAGATCCTAGCATAGGAATGAAAGAAAGACTTCAATGCATGTAGAAAATGAAATACACAACTCCTTTTACACATGATTTCTGCCAGACTTCCACATAGGCAGGAACATACTGTGGCTCACTGAAACAGACAAATAGATTAACCAGTATTCACACACAGTGAAAAGCAGTCTTCACATACCAGAGACAAGAGTAGAATAACTGGCATTTTCACATTATGGCAGCCTCTGGCCAATGAAGTCCCAGCACATACGGTACTTCAAAAAAAGCCTCAACGGGGAGACAAATCCAAAAGGGAATTCCAGCAAGTTGCAGATAGGGATTTTTCTAGAAGTGTACAGGATAAACTGACCACTGAATTGGTGTAAGGGATCAGAGAAATTAATCATTAAAAAAAAAATTAAAATCCCTTATTACTTACTCTTACAAACATACCTCAAAGGGAGGAGGTACTCAGCAGTCATAGAAAGTGGCTGTCAGTGGCTGCTGGGGAAAACAGGACAGGGCTAATCAGTAACTAAAGCTGTTCTGAACTGGCATTGGAATTGTCTCATTACATGAATTACACTAGGATTTGAAAGCATCAAGGTTTCAGCAACTGAAATCTACATTCAGACTGGGAAAAAAGTCATGAAGTTCCCAATCTGATTGCAGCTTAAATATTCAAGGGTGGAAAACTGCAGTTCAGAGGCAGCTTCTCTTACCTTCTGTCTGTTTACCTTCCTGAAAAAGGTTCACTGACCAACAGAAAACAGATACCTTTCCTTCCTCTACCTTTAAACTCAAGTAAGAAATAAAAATGATGTTAAGTAACTAAGGTCTATCCTACTAGCAGCAGCACGTTTCAATTTCTGACTAAAAATAGTGTCCTCCACTCTAATGAGATTAAGCTTGACTTTTAGTAAGCAGTATTATGTAGAAATAGAGCCATTTATTTAATTTGCACTTTCTCTCTTGAGCAAATCAAACTCTCTCCAAGGGCCACATTTACTACTACATTGAGGGCATTTTAATAGCAGGCATTCTAGAGCAGTTTTTTTCTTTTTTAAACTCTTCAGAAACAGTCAAGTCTTTCACAGTATGCTCTCACCAAGTAAAATATCATTTTGCTGTACATTGTGTAAAAATGCAATTTGCAGGATTGGACTTTGGTCCGGGTAGTTTTAAATTACTATTTTCTTTCACAGAAAAAACAAACAAACAAACAAACAAAAAAACCCACTTAAATCAGAAACCCTACGTTAAAGTTCAGCTACATGAAAATGTAAGGAAAGCATACTTTGAGAACTTGGCTCAAACTTCCATATTGTTTGCTATGAAAATCAGTTTCAGCAGATGATCTGCAGACACTTATCCATTGCTAGATGTCAGGAACCCACACAAGTCTGCTTCAACAAGGTGATGTATCTATTAATGTGCTAGAAGCAAAACCTGTTATAAGTCAATTGCTACATAATCAGCAAAGCAAAATAACTGAGTTTTGATATCCAAGACAAAAAAGGCTGCACTTTCAGCTGCATGGTCTGTACTCTCCTAAAGCCTCAGCCAGTCGCCCCTCAGTAGCTGAAGAGAACCAACAGTCAAATATCATCACTTGCTGACACAGGGGACCTAAATTTGATTGCAGTTAGCTACTGGGACAGGCCATCTACTGTCTTTTGTAGAACCCTGCAATGCTTATCCTTCATCAGAAAGGCTAAGTAGGTTTAAAAGTCTATTTTGAGTCAGACCTCCCTAAATTACACTCAGAACTGTATTTCACAAAGAATGTATTTCTTATAAAACATCAAGTCCTCCTTAAAAATTAAGGTGGTATGGATTGTTTAGAAATCAAGCCCTCGTAAGCAATAAAAAGATATAAAAAACTATTAAAATCAACATTGTGTAATTATAACCAGCTTATAGGCTTTTGCATTTAATTTCCTATAATGAAAACTTTTGTAGATACGTATCTTTAAAAACAAAAAAACAACAATGCCCAAACCAAATGCCACTTGGGTAGATGCTCACTCTGAGAATCTGCAGCAGTTGCAGTAGTTGTCTTTTCATTAAGACAACTAAACAGCGACCGAGCCCTACAACACGAGCAGCACTACAATATACTTCAGTAAGTCCAGGAATACTCAGACCCCAAAGATTCTCTGAGCTGCTATAATTTAAATCAAACTGAGCTCTTTGATCATGACAGTTGCAATGGAGCTGGCTAGTGCTTGCCTTTAAACATTGACTACAACATCAAGAAATTGCTGTCAAACAACAAGCCGCAGTCTACACGCGTCTCTACAAAATGATGACTTCCAGCTGTCTTTTAATTACCTTTTCTGTGGCCATACAGGCAAATGATATCTTCAACTGATACAATCAAATTTGCTCAACAGATTCTTGCACCCTGCCTCATCCCATGTAACTTTTCATCCTCCAGTCAGGACCTCCACAGCTGGCAGAGCATCTGCAAGGTGAAATGGGAGGCAGGCCTGACAGAGGAGTGAGGCAAGATGTAGGTCAGTGCAAGCTGCCCACTACACCTGCACCCCCTGGAGAAATGAGTAAGATCAGAAAGCAGCAATAAGGATAAAGAAGGCTGTGAGGACTGGAAAGGACCATAAAGTTTAGAAGAGGTATGTAGCTTTCTACTGCTGTCATTCCTTACTCCCAGTTTTCAGTTGCAAGATCAAGAAGTATAACCCCAAGCTTTCTACAAAATCAACGTTAACATCTCTATATTTCATTAGGAGAATTCAGATCTATCAATCTGGCAACCATCAGTATTTTCCCAGAAAGAGAGATCAAAGTTCAGATGCTAAACAGGAGCAACAGAAAGAGTACCAGAAACTTCCTCTTATGAATTTAGTAACATCAGTGGTAAACAAACCGTTTCTGCAAAGAAGCCTTCAGTGTTTTCCTAGCACTTACCACAGAGACACTGCTGGCTTCTACAGGTGTTGGCTGGTACACTACTCTGTATCAGGTGCCTGAAGAACACTTAAAATCTATAACTGGCATTATTGGCTATGATTTACAAGACAAACAGCTGCCTTGTTTCTCCCTCCACAATGTTCTACTTGTGAAATATAATGCCTTCTTACAACACCTTCTCTTACTAATTTATCTACAACAGCACAGTGGAATTATCTGTAATATGAAGTATAGCAGATTGTTGTTGAAAACAATGCTCAGATTGGAAAAATGACTACAAAATACAACTAACATATCTGGAAAAAACAAACAACTTACTCCATTGAGAATGTTTTTTCCAATGAAAACACAAAAGCCTACAGTGAAATAGTAAAAAAAATAACCATGACTTTTCATCCTGGAAAAGTATAATCTTGAATAACATGAAGAATGGCCTTTATTTCCATTTCAGGTATACCCACCAGGAACACATCTTCAGTATTTGGAAAGGCAAAAGCTACCTCACCAAACACTTTAACAAGAATTACTACAAGCTGTTAAAGAGATTTAGACTTTCACAAAGATAGAGGTGTAATTTTGTCTGCTCTTTCTTACAGTTTGGAAAATAAAAAAAAGCTTCATGCATTGTTCCCATCAACCATGGAAACAATTCCCTCAGCTGTCTGTTTTTTGGGTGACTACGGACACAGGTAGCATCAGGTAACATCTCATTACTCTCAACAGTATGAAGAGACTAAGAATTGGAGTTGAATCTAAATCTTTGACTAAAATAGCTTCCACAAGATATGTGCAACAAAATACCCAGCTTGTTTTGGAAGTCTCTTTACAATGGCTTTGCCTTTTACCTTCAGATATTTTCCTGTTTGGTACAATGCAATAATAAGGGAAGTCTAACATCTACAGTTATACAAGTATACGAAGTCCCCACATACATCACTAGTAAATAATCAGACTGCATACAAGATATATTTGTAGAAGTAATAAAACCCTTTGATGCTTCATATTTATGCTGGCAAATACCTCTCATGATATAAAAGGCACTTTGAAAACCCAATATGGTTTGGTTCATTAAGTTTGCAAAGTACAAACAATTGTACAAACATACAATTATATCGAAGCATGTCAGCCATTGTGACATTATGTACAAGTCTCCAATTTTGATAACACTGGTTTTATGGGAATGAGCAGTGGTTTCAGCAGCTTTACTGAAGACGTCACAGAATTTCCAGTACCACCATTTTAGTTTCCTATTGGAACAAACGTAGTAAGTAAAAAACCTTCAAAAAACTTACAAGTTTAGGGGGCCACAAAAAGACAAGACCCAGAGTTCATAACATTCATTCCATATTTACTCCTCAGAAGTCAACTTCATCCATAGCCCAAGGACAAAAGTCTATTCAGTCAATTCCAGGCCAGTGATAGAGGCAGGCTCTGTCTTGGGAAGTGTCTTGTTTTATACCATTACAGTACAAAAAACTTTGGTCCAACAGCACAACTTCAGAAGCTCACTACATGGCTGCGACATCAATTTGTACGTAAAGCTGTCTTACTCCTGCCTGTGGAAAAGAGAAGGAGATTAAAAATAACACCAAATGATAAAGCCAAAGCAATTTAACTGTACTGATCAACTGTCCACATCAGTAAGCTGCCCTACAAAAAGGCTCAGAATCCTCATTTTCTCTCTCTCACCTTCCACATTCAGCAAAACATTTGTTGAGATGCCTAAAAATTTTGAAACCCATACATTTTTTAGAGAGCACTGCATGAAACACATGGTTCTTCATATAGAAAAAAGATGTATATGTGTAAGTATAAATAACTAAATAACTGTCATATAAAGAAGAAATTTTCTCTTGTACAAGCTTAACTCCTTGAAAACAACAGCTTACAGGTTGTAAGGCTGAAATGGAGCAAAAGCACAAGACTATAACACAGGATTTGTGGTTTGAACCAACTCTACTCTTCTTAGATTTTAACAAAAAACAACAAGGGTTATCTATGCTGAATTGATTTGACATGAGATGCTAGAAAAACTTTTGGTAAAGGTATGCAAATCATTCCAAAATATTTCCTTGGAAATTCTATTAAACTAGGCTTAGATTGAATCAGTTATACCATCAGTAAAAAAACCTCATAAAAATAATTTAACTCACAGAATCACAGAATTGTAGGGGTTGGAAGGGACCTCCAGAGATCATCGAGTCCAACCCCCCTGCCAAAGCAGGTTCCCTACAGCAGGTCGCACAGGTAGGCATCCAGGCAGGTCTTGAACATCTCCAGAGAAGGAGACTCCACCACCTCCCTGGGCAGCCTGTTCCAGTGCTCCGTCACCTCACCGTAAAGAAGTTCTTGCGCACATTTGTGCGGAACTTCCTATGCTGCAGTTTCCAGCCGTTTCCCCTTGTCCTGTCTCCACTCACCACTGAAAAGAGTCTGGCCTCGCCATTCTGCCCCCCACACCTTAGATATTTATAGACCTGGATCAGGTCCCCTCTCAGTCTTCTTTTCTCAAGGCTGAACAGACCCAGATCACTCAGCCTTTCCTCACAGGAGAGATGCTCCAGGCCCTTCACCATCTTCGTGGCCCTCCGCTGGACTCTTTCCAAGAGATCCTTGTCTTTTTTGTACTGGGGAGCCCAGAACTGGACACAGTACTCCAGATGAGGTCTCACCAGGGCAGAGTAGAGGGGGAGGATCACCTCCCTTGACCTGCTGGCCACGCTCTTTTTAATGCACCCCAGGATGCCATTGGCCCTCTTGGCCACAAGGGCACACTGCTGGCTCATGGCCAACCTGTCATCCACCAGGACACCCAGGTTCCTCTCAGCAGAGCTCCCCTCCAGCAGCTCATCCCCCAACCTGTACTGGTGCATGCAATTACTCCTCCCTAGATGCAAGACTCTACACTTGCTTTTGTTAAACCTCATCCAGTTTAACTCATTTTAACCTCAATGTCAAGCGAGTACTGTGATGGTCACAAGGTGACCTTGAAAGACTAGGCTGTACACTGCTAAAGAACAGATTGCCTTCAACCATCTTCTACTTGCTTTTAGCTCAGCTGAGCTGCAAAAACCATCAGCAGTTATATCGAGGCTGATAAAGGCCAGTATTACTGAAGAGAAAAATCTACTTGCTCAAACTTACTATCATAAGTCAGGTAAAAAGAGCAACAGACCTTGCTCCCCCAGTTCACCTCCAAGATACACAGCTCTAAAATTGCAAAGCTACAAAAGAGTAATGAGTCACTATAGAATGAGTCACTAGGAAAGCACAATGCTTTGGAGACTTGAGATGTAAAATCAGTTTTGAGTATACAGGACTCAATGTTCTGCACAGTCCTTCCCAGAAACTATTCCTTAACAATCTCAAAGTACACAGTCTGCAGAGAAAGCCATGCAGACTAATTTGTACCTGATTGATAATTAGAGCAGTATATAATGGAATATCTCAAAAATGACCCAACTTTATCAATAAAATTACATTTTAGAACATCTGTAACAAATTCTTCACTGAAACTTGCATCACAAAAACAAGTATTTGTATTTGTTTTTAGTGAGTTCCCTGCAACTATCATCTTTAAAACTTATGCACATTGTAGGGCTGTTTTCAGTGGCATTTTTCCTGAAAGTGCAGAAACTGAGTATGCTAGCTGCATGCAAATCCCTAAACTATTAATTCTGGAATTTTTAAGAGGAGAAAAATAATAAAATAAAATAAATACATATAATAATAAAAAGTAAGTCATAGAATAATAGAATGGTTTAGGTTGGAAGGGATCTTACAGCCCATCTAGTTCAAACCCCCCTGCCACAGGGTGGTTGCCACCCACCAGATCAGGCTACCCAGGCCCCATCTAACCTGGCCTCGAATGCCTCCAAGGATGGGGAATTTACAGCTTTTTTTGGACAAAGTCCCTTTATTTTCTTGGTTCCTCATGTTCACTCAAATATACAAGCTTCATCTTCATTCAGTACGGCTCAGAAGATTACTGCTGTTATCCCCATTAAGTGGCATCAAAAGTTAATGCAGAGGGGTACAGAAATTCAACCTACCTTACACAGAATTTTGAAATTGTTCTACACAGTTGGGGAAGAGAAGCTTTTCAACAGTTAGAACGATACAAAAAATTTAAACCTGTTTTCTTAATAAGGGTTGCAGTGTCACTCCAGGTGACTCTGCTAATGAGATACATACCTGAGTAAAAATATTGTGAGTCTGGCTTAGAATCCACCTTCCATCAGCATCAGGAGCTACTAATAATTTCAAAGTCCCTATGTAAACATCAGTACAGAGGGTCCAGAAGTGTGGATCATGTAAACTGTAAACTCCTTGCAACTGCTGCACCTAAACATAAAAGCAACCTTATATTATTTTTCCCTGAAAATACATGGACTTAATTCCTTACTACAGTCTTCGTGGTTGTAAAGAATTGAAAGCAGATTCTATGTATTGGTCATAATTCTGTATCTTGCTTTTTGTATACTGTACAAATATTTTATTGGAACCATTTCTGAAAACTGTGGTGTCCAAGAGAGAAAAATCATTTATTTTGTTGAATGACTCTAACAGCAATTTCTGCAAATGCAGTAATTTTCCCATTAAAAAAGTAGAGAGATTCCATTAACCGGAATGTATTAATATGCCTGTAAATATTTTGTGAGGGCTTAAGTTTGTTCTGTCAAAACCATTCTTCCAACTTTAGTAAAAAGCCTTCATGTGGCCACCATAAACCCAGAACTTTTTGAGAAACGACACTCACTCTACAAGCACATTAATACAATGTACTTCGTAAGTTTGCAAAGGCGCTTCACATGTTCAGATCACGACACATTATAAGGTAAGTCAGCCAAAAGTAACAGGACAAATCAAACCCAGATTAACCTCCTTACACACACTTGTCAATGTTATTTTATCTAATTTAGTAAAGACAGAACTGGATTTTGAGAAACTGTCCTGGACAAAAGAAAAACATCATGCACTAGCAGCACAAGTGACTGTGAGGAAAGACTTTGGGATCTCTTTTTCTAACCTAACATAGCACAAGTTGAGCTTAAGCTACATAATATTTAGGATTTCAGGAAAATAATTTATCTGGCATCTTCACAATCTAGAGAACCTCTTACAGGCTTTACTGGATAAAAAAATCATAACATCCTCATGTACAGCTGAGGTTCATTAACTCAGTAGTTTCCTCGTACACAAATATGGCCAAAGTAAGAGCTTACCCTCTGATAGCACTGAGGCAGGGCATTTTCCAGAGATGGAGGAGTTCGCTGCATCAAAATTCCAATTGATTCTTTTAGAAGTGGAACAATACTATAAAGAAAAAGGAGGTTAGCTACTGTGACATTTTCAGAAGTTGCAGACCAGAGCAAAATAACATTCCTTAATGCTCTTGAATAGTTCTTTAGTTGTTTGATCAGAAGATGAGAAAGTTATCATGAAAACCTGCCACAGATAAAAGAATAGACAAATTCTGATGGTGTCATGCTAAAGGCAAACTAATTTCTCCCTCAATTACCCAGAGACAATCAGACAACATTCAAAAAAATAACTGGTTTAACTGTGGGATTTGGGATGAAATTTTAAGTATCTTAAACATATATGACAAAGTAGCTGATAAGCATAGCTTAAAACCAAAACCTACTTCAACAGCATATCACTTACAAGCAACCATGAAAATATGCAACTGAAGATGTTTTTCTTTTGTGTCTGGTTTAAGACATATCTTTCTTATGAACTAAAATAATAAGGAGATCATAAAACAAAATTAGTATGCACCAGTCCAGCTATACCAAAGATATTTTGTCAGAAACAGAATACTTAGCATATTCTTGACATGAAATAAGTGTAGGGTCTCATCTGACCTCAAAGATTTAACATTTGGAAGCAATTAGAGGTTCCCTCTTTACTGCATGGTCTTGCTTAACAGCAAATGAAAAAGATAATACCTTTTTTTTTTTTTTTTTTCTAAAGCCACCAGTAAGTTCATATCCCATTTCTATCACTGAAAGTTTACACTTACTAAGCATTCAGTATGTTGATTTTTGTTTAGGAGCAATCTATCATGCTTGGTTCAGTAGAACATCCTAAAACTTAAGATTGTAGTAACTATAGCCTAATCTCAAAACTTAAATAGTAATCTAATTTCAAGAGCATGTAAGTCACTCCATTCTCTACAGCAAAAGCAATGATACATTTAAGAAGCCATAAACTGAGTTTTTGTGTCTAAAACTGACATCATGGCTGGAGTAAGCAGAGTAATGGGTTCCATTTCTGTCTTGAAGCAGTGCCAGCATATGCAGCTTCCCGTGCTCAGCTCACTCTTCGGATAATCTCTGGCTGCAGTAGAATGGAGTCAGAGGTTGCATGGCTCTTATGTAATGAACCACAGGGAGAATAAGCACCCTAACATTAAAGCCTCTCTGGAAATATACCCATTATTCCACTCAAATTCACTGCCTGACATACTCCATGTGGCCTCATACAATTGTGCTGCTACTCAATCAGTTCAGAACTAGGAAGAAGCAGATAGGGGCAGACTGGAGATATTAAAACTGAACTTATCACCAAGACAAACATTTAGAAATACATTAGCTGTCTATCTGTCTAAAAAGAGTCTTAATTGGAGTGTCACATTCTATACACAGCGTATTAACAGATGTATAGGGAAAAAGAGTTAAAGACTTAAAATTCAGACACACCACATATTTTTCTCCCAGAGGAAGGACAGAAGGCATGGAGAATTAGGAGCTTGCCTTTTTATCGAAAAAGATGAATAAGGGTGAAAAAAACACCCATGAAAGAGTCTAGCCAAAATATGTCTGATTTGCATGCATTTACATTATTTCACAAAACTAATGTGCATTATCTGACAGAATGGACAAGAATTAGCAAAAAGCAGAAGATTTGGAGACAGTCTACAGGAACTTAAGAGTAGCAGGTGAGGCATGTTAACTTAACCTATTCCAAGAAAGAATCTGGTCAGTGAAATTGATTAATACATTCTGGAAGAGGATACACACTGAAAAGATGAAATTAAAACCTCATTAATGAGCAGTTCTGCCGAAGATGTCTTCAAACTTACTACCTGCTTCATTCTGCAAACCTGGGTCTGTACAACCAACATGGTGTGCAAAGCACAAACGCTGTCTCTTCTTGCCAGGAAATGGGGAGCAGTTTTAAGCAGCAGATTGAAATCAGTTACACAAAGTCAACTGTTGTAACAAAGAGGTGAATGGTGAAAGACAATCCGCTGTATAGGTGGAGCAGTTTAAAAGAGGGCCTTCCTGAGGACAAGATTTCACCCATTCCACAGTTTGTAATGGTTCCACATTAATGCCTTTAGAGAAATTTCCTGAACAAGTTTCTAAAAATAGCGCTGCATGAATTATCTTTCTTTTATCAAGACTTAATGAGAAACCCAAAGCACAGTGTTTAATTAAATGTCGTCATCTTAGAAGTACAAAGAATACAGGCAAATCGGGGAGTTGTTTGATACTGTAGGTGAAAGTTTGGTCACAGCTTCCTCATTTAATTAGGAAGACATTTATCTCTTGCAAAGCTGAAAAGGCCAGAAGACAGCAACACTCCCACAAACACTCTCAGAGCACACAAGGCCATATGCATATCTACATCCAGAGGGACGCTTTCTCTCTCTTTCCAGGTAACCTTTCTCTGTAAACAAAAATGATATGACTAAGTATAGAAACCATTTTTCTGAAGTCTTTGATATTCCACTGTTTCATGCATAGTACTGCAGTAGAAAGCCTTTGATTAAAACCCAGAATTCCATCAGTCATTAGTGTGAAATACATGGAGCTGCTCCTCCAGCAGTGTTTGCATTCCTATGCAACTTTTTTCATGCGTGGGTGGTCTCTAAGCTTTGCTACCAAAGCAGATACAATTTTCCAATTGTCTCTTGTTACCAAGACTTGAATTCAAAATATCATGTTATAAGACAATAGAACCTGAAAGAGGCTCTAATCCTCAAGATATAAACATATCCAAAAGCCATAATAGCTTTTATAGGTAGCTGCTGTGTACAAAATGAGTTAACAGTACGAAATCACATTATGCTTTCACAAACATTGTTATAGAGGAAATGAGAGGATTTAACACAGATAAGACCCAATGATACTAATCTGATAAACCCACCCTCCCACTATTCCACGCTGCTTGATTAACAACGAAGTATGAAAGCATTACAATCTTGACTGACTTGCATCACAGCCGTTGCAGTCTAATACAGCTTGTGCCACTGCTTTTCTAAGCACGCTTACCAAGACTCTGGCACCAGCATCATCTTAAACAGCAAGACTGGAAGTAACTGAAGAGTAAAGTTCCCCTTAGAATTATTGTTGTCGGATCACAAACAGGAAACTCATTCAGTGCTCTCAGCACTACAAAATAAACAGGATTCTTGAGAATTTTTTTAATGTGGAAGATGAACAAACACTGCTAAGACCCAAGCCCAGGTATGGTTGATCAAATACAGTAGCTGAAAATCTATAGCTGGATATCAAAATCATTTATTTCTAGTCACCATCCACAAATGTAGAGCCAGGACTGGGAATCTATTTCCGAACTTCCTTTTTTTTTTTTTTTGTTGTTTTTTTTTTTTTGTTTTTTTTTTAAATTAGGCCATGGTGAACTTTAACCAGCATGAAGGCTATATTCAAAACAAAGATCACAAGTTTAATATTTACTTTTCTAATCTGAAATGTTATTAACAGCAATAAAGAAAGCATTGCCAAGTCTACCCAGTCTATCTTACTAATACCTGTAACATAGAACTAGAGGTCTATGCAGTTGATTATAATGGAAATGAACAATTTAATATATGTGAAGTCATGCATGACAGCTTGGGAAGATAAACAAATAGTAGTGTATTTTAACCGAGCTAACAAACTCCTGTAGGAAAGGACAGCACGTCAGTGCTCTAATGCAACCGTACTCCGAAGCAGCAAAATTTTACAGTTCCTATTAGTGGGAAGTCCTCAGACAGCATTAAAATTTTCAAGTAACAGCTTGATCAGAATGACTTTTCTCTCTGAATTACAGCTACTCCTATTTTTTAAGTTAAATCCACAAAGAAAAGATCATGATACTTTAAACAACCACAATACTAATCCCACTTGCTGGCACACACAGGTACTCCTACTCCATTCCACCCTAAGGAAGCTGGTTTAACTGCTAAGAGGGAGACTTTTCAGATGAATGGATCACCCTGTGCAAAAAAAAAAAAAAAGAAAAACAACAACCACCAAAACAACCAAAACACCAAAACAACCACCGACACTATTGACAAACATTCTTCTGAAACAGCAATTAATCTTTAATTTAAAATCAAATACCTCCTGGAGTCACTTATAGAGGTTGCAAATAGGCCCACGGAGGCAGGCAGGAATCTGCACTAGATACTGACTCCTCACCCCTCTAAGGAACCAAAAGCTAGAGCCAGCTCTTGCAACTATCAGATTCAAGTCTTTTCCAAACAATCTTCCCCCCTCACATTTTAAATTCCAGAAGATTTCAGTATAATCGTTTTCCTAAATTAGATTGAGATGTCTTGAAAAATGTAAGGACAAAAGTATTATATAGCCTAGCAACAGTCAGTTGGGCCCCTACTATTACAACAGAAGTTCATCTTACAGTAGCATCTGAAGAAACATGAGTCAATTCTAGAACACATCACACACAGCATAGTGAAAAATAACGCAGAATAAACAATGGTTTTATATGTTCTGGAGCATAAACGAAAACTACTACTAAAATAAAACAAAGGTTGACTCAAGCACTCAAAGCATTAATCTGAAACTACAAGCCATCTTGACCACCTCGTTCAGTCCATTTCAAGCAAAGTCATCAATAATCAAGTTCGTTAGACTGCTCGGGAAATAAAATCTGCAGTTTGACTTTGCTCCACTGCTGTGCGAAAATGTGCCAGTCTGAAAGAAATGCAGATTTGCTTTTACTGACTGAATGCAACTGCACTGAGACTTAACAGTCATCCTAGAGATTGGTTACAGTGTTGTAGACCAATAGCCCAAGTCAAACATCAAGTCTGAAATCAGGTCAAAGGACACATCAAACAGTGGAATTTTCCAGCCTTTTTAACAGACAACACAGACCACATAAGCCCTTCCTAACTACACCACAAGACCTATTGATAGCTTTATTATAAAACCCCTATTATGGAAGTTTCAGCCTTCTCCCAACCTCTATATGAACGCAACAAAGAACTCCTCTCATTCATACAGTACCTTCTGATCAGCTCCACAACTGCTTTGCTGTACACAAAGGTACACCCTTAAAGAACAAAGAGTATGGAGAACAGTCTTCTACCCAACCATTAACTCAGCAGAAGCTTCTTTCCCCACAGCAACTTGCACATCTTCTTTCCAATTTTAGGAGATCACAGTCACGTAATTGACTTTTTCATTTTAAGAACTGATTTTTTAATATAATTTGCCCTTAATGAAATTACAGGAGGTTTAAAACTACCTACTGAACTTATATTAGTGCAATAATTTAATAGTGATGTGGATTTTTCGTGTGCATTTAGCACCTGAAGAATATTGTCCTACTCTGATAAATGGGGAGATTCACATCAATGACTCTGTGAACACTGCCATGCACATGGTATAAACATGCCATATATGGTATAAACATAAGCGTGTAGCTGCAGTCAATCATTTGATATTTACCATGGGTGAAGAGACAAAGGTCTGCAGTTATGTTCTACCTGGACTTGTGGCACTCTGCCCTGTGCCACCATTTGAACTGTTGCTAGAAATACCCCAGTAACATCATCACTGAATAAAATGTTTGCTTCTCCAAACTCATCTGAATTCCTTCATGTTTACAGTGATCTTGGTAAGCAACAATAGGGAAAGCAAGGAACTACTTAAAGCACTTCCACTAAATCTTAAAAGGAGTAAGGATGTCTCAGATTACAAACACAGCTTTCTCCATTGAAAAAAAAGTACCAGTCTTGATTCAGCAGGGACAAGGGCATATCCTGTGCCAGCAAGCTCGACTCTGCTGCACTGAAGCCATTCTGCTCCATTTACTAAAGTACATTGGCTTACATAAGTGTGTACTAAATACAGAAAGGAAGAGTTTTACAGCTTGAACCTGAAAAACACTTCCGTAGTACTGTGCCCACAGTGTTAAAACATGCAGATTTAAGAGCAGAAGCAGTAGCTGTAGAAAAGGAAAAACAAGGCAACTCACTTAAGAACACACCAAGACAAGCACACAGAACAGAGATAATGTGCTACTCAGAATAAAAGCAAGCACTGTAAAACCTAAGCATAATAGATAAACATGTTCTTCGGAGCTGTAATTTATGCTACTGTAACTAGCGTTAAAAAGACTACCAGATATCAACACTTACCTTACACCTATAAGTAATGCTATCAGCATTGAACAAATAGGATCTGCTATCATTAGACCATAGTTCTGCATCAGTATAGCAGATATGATTACACCAACACTTCCAAGTGTGTCTGCAACAATGTGTAGAAATACACCTGCAAGAAATTAATTAACATCAATTTAGCTTGGTATTCTTAAAGCTAATAGAATTATTTCAAAGATACTTCGAGAAGGAGAGTTTCAAGACCTAGGTAACATGATTTACACTTGTTACATTCCTCATCAATTACATACAAATGTAAAATACATAAAGAAAAAATAAAAAATACACAAATGTCAAACACAAAGAGCAATCACAGGGTTTCAACGAATCCTTAAAAATATAAAGCACTTGAAAAAATTATATTATTTTCTGCATGTGGCATGAAGGGGTACTTCATGGCATGCCTATTAACTTAAGCAGTGATCTACAGCTAACATTTTTCGTTCATTACTCGCCTACATTATAGCAAAGAAACTCATATTAACAAAAATGGACCTGTAAGGCTTTGAAAGATGCTTATGTTTCATTAACAGTAGAAGCTGCTTGGCAAAGAGGCTGAAGACAAGCGATTTTGAATTACTTATTACTGCAGAAATGTACAAGTTCGCTATTATTTCCTCTTTCAAGGTAAAGAGGAGGAATCAAACTTCGCGACCGCAGTCAAAAATCAGCCTTTGGCGCCCCCTGCTGGCAATAACGGGAACAGTCACTCAGAAACAGCTTGCTGAATACAATTCTCAGGATTGTGAGATTCTTCCCTCACTAACAATTAACTCAAAACAATAAATCAGCATTCTACCAATTTTCTTAAGCCTTCTTTGTGCTGAGTCTGTAGATAATTCCCCTCATAGCAGCCCAGAGGGCCAGGCATTAGGTTTGTGACTGTTTGTTACTCACCAGCATTTTAGCTATTGCTGAATGATCCTTACACAGCACCAAGGCCTTCCGCTTCTCACTCTGCCCCCATTCAAGTAGGCTGGGGCTGGGCATAACGCTGGAATGGGACACAGCCAGGACAGCTGACCCAGATCAGCCAGAGAGATGTTCCACACTACGTAACATCACGCTAATAACTCAACAGAATCTTTCTAAAGCAGCTGTTGTCTGGGAGACGGCTTGTTTCCTATTTTCTTTCTCTTCATTTATTGAATCATCTATACCACATTCCAAGCATATTTCTTGTTTGTACTCTTTTGATCTTCTCCCCACCATCACTGCAGGGAAGGGGACAAATGAGCAGGTGGATGCTTAGTTGGTGGACAGAGTGAACTCAGAAGAATACTGGGAAGTTAAAATAAATACTTCCTTTTTTTCTTTTATACTGTGATTCAGTTAAAACATGCCTTTCACTTGGAAGTCAGTAATCCATCTTTGAGGTACACACACACACAAAATGGTGAAGATATAAGTATTGGAAGAGGTGGAAAATGTTCCCTTGGAAGGACCACAAAGAAGCCAGAAAAACACTCGAAAAAATAACACAGAACATATCCAGATATGTCAGATAATTACATTGTACAATTCTTTCCCTCTAATTTTTGAGCACTTAAAAATGAAGGCCAAAACTGACGTAATCAATAGTTTATATCCTCACAAGCTCTTAAGAGATTATGGACTCCAATTCTCCTTCAAGTGATTATAGCTTGTATGATCATCCTGTCTAAACCAAGTGCAATAGCTTGATGAAATTTAAGGCTCCAGTACCCTGCAGAAATTATTATACTGACCTGCATTTTTCAAATACACTCTATCTTAATAATAGCACTTTTTCAGTTTCTAGCACATACACTGTACCTTAGATTTCTCCTTTTAACCACTCTTTATTTTTTTCTCTTTTTTTTTCCTTTTTTTTTTTTTTTTTTTTTTTTTTAAATTTTTCAGCATCATGACAGAAGCTGAGCCCCAGCTTCTACAACCTCCCTTTTAAGCTGTGTTGACACAGCATTGTTCATACTTCAATGAATGTCTCAGTGCTAGCCATGCACAGCGTATGCACTCATCTGTTCAAACATGGAAGTAGACTTGACAAAATAAGTGAAAAGTAGCATTTATCCAGAGGCATCACAGCCTGAAATAGATGTGTAATGAACAGTCACAAGAGAATAGGATTAAACAAATAAAGCACTGTATTTATTCTTATCATACCTTGTAAGATCTGCTTGCTAGAACCAGTCATCCCTTCAAGAGAATGGTCATCTGCAAAGATAATATTCATAATGGCATATTAACCCATGCAAAGGCTCTCTTCTAGTGGTGTGTTCTGTTCTGGTCTTCCTTTCTGCAATGTCTTGCGCAGACAAGCTGCTATCACCTTTTGCTCTAGCTTTTGTTTTTTAATGCAACAACTAAGTCTTGAAACATGGATTGTTAAAGAAAGCACAGTTTCACACAACAGCATATTTTATTCATATAAAAATATATAGTGTATTTATGTGCAAATAGGTTTTTTTTTTTTCTAAATGAACTTTCTTAAAAAAACAAAAATCAAGAAATGAAATCATTCCAACATTTAGCAAAAGCAGCCACCTCAACAATACGAGTCAAACAAAGGAGCAAGCAAGAGTTCAATCATATTTGATACCAAGGAATATTTCAGTTAAGCCTTGCCCCAAGCATTCAAAACAAGAGTAAGACTTGAAGCCAAAAGTGAATAAAAACAATTCTCTCATTCAAGCAGATCAATGCCTCTGTGGCAATGTATCAGAAAAAAAAAAAAAAAAACAAAAAAAAAAACAACCCCCTTTTTTTTTTTTTTTTTTAAAGAAAAAATATTAAAAGATAGCAAATGACTTACGGCGAGGATATAAAATAATTTATGCAGGAATTAATTTGAGTATTAAATTGCACCAAATATATTCTTTGTTCCACCAGGAGAGGGTTGGGAGAGCAATGGCAACACCAAGTTTGTGTTTTCCAGCCATATTTCAGTATCATCAATTTTCTAACACAAATATCAGCTGGAAGGCGTAAGTAAAGGTTTTTCTGTACTCCTGTCACAAGTTGCTGTGCACATTCAGAGCAAAGAACATATTCTTAGTTACTTAAGATTTTAGTTCACAGCTCAAACAGAAAGGGTCAACAATGCAGTATTACAGCAAGGCTTTAATTCACATTATTTCAAACAGCTGGCAACCACACTATCTCTTCTCGCGTAGTAAAGGCTAGTGAACAAATTGTGTGGATGTCTCTTCAGACTGTCTTTAAGGAAAAAATTTAAGCATAGAAAACATACAGATTACCTTTCTCATAACCAGCTTTAAAACAGATTACAAATGCACAAGACAAAAAAATCTTCTGTTAAACATCAACGTCCATACACAACAAATTAATCCCTAAGTACCCAACAACAGAATTGCTCATTTAACTTTCCCAATATCTTACTCTGTGAAGTCAATTGAGAACATTGGCATAGTAGTTTTTTTCATTACTTTCATAAAAAATTGAAATAAAGCACTTAATAACTGATTTCATTATGTTATGCTATTTCATACTTTTATCTTTTGCTAGCACATAACAAAGATGACAGTCCAAAAATTTAGGTAGAATAAAACCTATAACACTTCATCAACCACAAACGAAAAACCATTTCTCTGCATACTTATAAGAATAAGCAGTCAGCAACCTCTCTTCTGTTCAGAAAAATCAGTAATGTCAAAATTGAGTCAAGTGATGCTCTATGACAGTAAGTACTTACCATGGCAATACTCCTGACCATGAGGGAGTCCATGGCTATGGCCATGATCATGAGTGTGTCCATGTTTATGGCTGTGACCATGACCTCTGTGACTGTGACCATGGCTGAGACCTCCATTAAATAGAGAATGGCTGTGCTCATGCCCTATAAACAAATATCAGAGTACAAACACAAGTGCTGAATAGAAGTAAACTTACATTTGTTTCTCAGCTATTTGAAGTCTATTCATTTTTAGGTCACCTCAAGGCATGGCTTTAAACAAATTTGTTAAGATTAAAATTAACACAAGCTGTTTGAAATATAAACCTTTGTATGTAGCTGTATGAATTGTATCTGATTAGAGAAGTTATTTTAATACAGCTTGAAAAATGCACACAAATTTTATTACAAGCATGTTGAAAGCAGATAGAAAATTGAAATACTACCATTCATACATTAAAACTTTAAGCTTCTTCTTTGAGTCTGTATCACAGTTCAGAGGTTAAGCTGGAACTGATATCAATTAGCTTTGCATAAAAGAAATAGAAATAACATTTACAACAAACATTTACACAAAGTTTGCATTTACTATTAAAAAACCATGCAGTTGAAAGTACCTGAATCTTCAGCCCATATTAAAATTTGATTCAGACATCTTGTTAATTCTTTCTCCAGGAAAGACACCTCCTAACTACAGTTTAATTTTATTCAAAAGATACTCTGCAAGAGAAAAGATTCTCTTCCAAGAATGTGCAGTAGAATTCATGTTACAGAAAGCAGATTATGGATTTCTAGGCCTTGCAAGTTAGTGGGTGAGAAGCAGATGAAAATGCATGAGAAGTACAGAGGTTACATACTAATGCTAGCCTTAAAACATGAAAATCGATACTGCAACAAGTCATTTGCATTGGATTGCCACTAAAAAGACCTAAAGACATAATACTGAAGCTCTCACTGATGTGTTCTAGGACACTGTTACCCAGGATGCTTCCAATTTAAAAAAAAAAAAAAAAAAAAAAACCTGAAAATTATAAATGTCCTACCAGAACCATGTGAATGCCCATGACCTCCATGTTGAAAAACAAATATTCCTATAAGATTTACAATGAATCCCAGTATAGAAACTGGAAGAAGTCTCTCATGATGCACGTCAGGAGGTTCCAGTGCCCTCTAGAAATAAAAACAAGAACAAATCATAGCATTTTAGTCTCATCACATTAGTAAAAGGCAGTGAGAAAAGCTGTTCCTGTACCTAAGCAGTTTTGTGCTTTCTTTAATAAGCAGGTATACATAAAGACATAATTAGGAATTACTCAGGAATCCCACACACTAAATCTGACAATGCTGATGTAAATCCAAAGGTTGCTTAAGAAGCTACTATTAACACATGGGAAAAAAAATGGGTTTATGTCACAAAAAAATTCCAGAATAATTTTATCTCCACTAAATACACTTTACAAATAGAAACTGATAGTACACTTCATGTCATTACATACCTCAACACCTTCAGAAAAAATGAAGAATGCTGTAAAGATGAGGAATAAACCATTTACAAAACCAGCGAGTACTTCTGCTCGAACATACCTGCAAAAAACCAAAAGCAACAGCAGATATCACCACATCCACTTAAAGGTGGGAAATCAGAAAGTGAAACTTCAAAACTGAAGAATAATCTCCTACTTCTCAAACAGTTGTGTTACACAAGGAATTGCTAAATAAGACAGAGTATATAAACTACAGACAGCTTATAAGTAATCAACTATTTGCCATGTTGACAAAGAAATTCACAACTACAGCCAACTTCTATTCATCTTCCATATTTACTTGTAGTAGAAAACAACAACTCCTGAGATCATTTGAAAGGTAACAGTAATAAAACAGTGAAATGATAAGTGGATTGAAAGCAAGACAAATACAAAGAATTAAGCAAGTAGGATACTACCTCAAAACAACCCTAAGCCTTAACCCATCCATCTAACTTCAGTATTCTTCTATTCCAGAGACCCAAACGCAAGAGCAGCAAGAGCTTGCCTCTGCAGCCATTATCTGGCCTAGATGAAAGAAGATTTACAATATTTCCTATTTGAGGTAATCTGTGCATGAATTTACAGTATAAATATATATTTGGAAACTACAAAATACGGTTATATCTCACATGCTTATTTAAGATGGCTGATGAAAAGTTCTGTTTCATATCAAAAAAGTCACACATTAATTTGTTTCCCTTTTAGAGGGGATTTTTAGTAAAGAAAAATAAATATTTCTTACGTATTTGTCCAATTAAAGCAAAACATCATCAGATTAATATGTAATACCCAAGCAGAAAATACCAGACTTAATAAATGGTAGCTGTTCTCTCATATGTGGAACACCAGCTGTTTAAGTGCAGAGCAGTATGCCAAAATAAATTCCTCCTATTGCACCTTGATTGATCAGTGCTTTCACAGAATCACAAGGTTGGAAACGACCTGCAAGATCATCTAGTCCAACCACCCTCCCATTCCTATCAGTACCACAAGCACTACACCATCTCTCACAGCTCCTCATCCAGGCGCCTCTTGAACACTACCAGGGACGGCGACTCCACCACCTCCCTGGGCAGCCATTCCAGTGCCTGACCACCCTTTGAGAGAAAAAGTTTCTCCTAATATCCAACCTAAACCTCCTCTGGTATAACTTCTGGCTGTTTCCTCGGGTCCTACTACTTGCCTGGGAGAAGAGGCCAGACCCTTTTGCACCACAGCCTCCCTTCAGGAAGTTGTAGAGTGCAATGAGATCTCCCCTGAGCCTCCTCTTCTCCAGACTGAACAATCCCAGCTCCCTCAGCCGCTCCTCATAAGACTTGTAGTCTTATGAGACTTTGAGTTTCAAACTACATGATGCATGCTTATATGAGACAGCTGAAGTTGATGACATCCAGGTCAGAAACACTATGAGCAGCAGCAACCCACCTTATAGCTCAGCTGCTGTTAATCAGTATGACTGATTAATACCACTGCATCACCAGTGCTCTTTTACAGGCACAACTGCAACAAGAGCCCTTGAAACAGAACCAACTGCAACAATTATATCCACAAAGGATACCTGGAGGACAGCACAGCTGTGTTCATGGGAACTTCAGTGGCAGCCACAGCTGTTAACGGTAACTACACTTTCTGAATCCTGCTGAGTCTGCAAGGCATGGTTTATAATCTCAGGTGCACCATCTGCTAGACTTAGGGCTTTCAGAGATAACTTTCAGAAGGTATAGGGCAACAGCAGTCTGCAATTCCCTGTGATACACCTCAGCTCACCATGTAGGCAAATCCATGACAAAGCATAGCAACTTCGTGTTCTGTAACCTGGTCACCCTAGTACTATTGCAGAGCTCTTAGCAGTGAAATGTACTCATCAAAAGCAGCACCTTTACATTTTTTCCTGTTTCTAGGGAAATACATCAAAGATTTAAATAATTCACCTTAAAAAGCATACCTTTGATATAACTTTTCCACGTTCTGCAAAAATAGGTTTTGTGAACACATTAAGGTAACAGCCTGAAGTTTCTTACCCATATGAGAAAGCATCATTTGACCTCCACTTTGAAATAACTGAAGCTGCTAGTCCAGCCAGGAGAGCAGTACAATCAAAAAACATATGAAAAGAATCTGATATTAAACCTAAACTGGAAAAGAACAGAAAAAATATGTTATGTTGGGCACAAGAAAACACAGAGCATTCCATCTTTTACGCACTAGAAGAATACACTGCTTCTAAGCCTCTGGCACAGTTCTGCTAGCTCAGGGGACAAACCCACACCAGACCACCAATATAAGTATGCTGACAAAGGCAGTTTGTGCGCTGACAAACCTGCTTTTGTTAGCCTAGTGAAGCTGCTTTGAAAGAGCGCTTAGCAAGAAATCCATCTGGCATATGTTGGGATGATGGGTGGGAGGGAATTCCACTGACACAATTCAAAGCCCCAGAGGTTGATACAGCCACAAATAATAAACATTCTGCTTATTAATACCAAAATAACCGTGGAATGGTGGACAAGACACCTTCTGCTTATGACAGAACTTTTCCACAATGTACACAGAATTACTGTAACATCTAAACACCTTTGAAAAGTCTATCAAAGAACTTAACTTTAGAAAACAGCTTAGAAAAAACACCTCACTTTTATTACATACCTTCTAAAGAACTTTATTTATTTCACCCAGTTACCAAATATCTTTAAACTCTTTCAGCAAATATGTAGGACCTGTAGAAAGCTATTACAGATTTCTATAACGCCTACTACACAGCAAACAAGACTTTTTTTCCCAAACAAAATTAAGTTCAATTTCTCTGTTCCAATAGTTCTACTTCCTGACAAAAATGTCATAACCAGAAAAAATCCCAGACTTAACAGGACTATGATCATGAGCGTAAACACCCAGGGACTGCAGGTATTTGTAATACAATGAAAATTAAAAATAATACTAATAATTAATCAAGGCAACGTCTCAGCTAAGCCACAACCTAATCAAAGTTTTGAACATTCACAAAATGCAGCTCACTAGCAATGTCAGCAACACAAGTAACACAAGCTCTGACAGCTGCCAGATAAACACTCCCTCAGAACATGGATGGATAGCTCTTAATAGAAATTTCCTTACGTACTGTGATCAAGTCAAATCCATCTTTTTAATATCAGGGTTTTCTTCAAGTTACATTAAAGATCTGGGTTATCCTAGGAAAGCTCAGTCTAATATTTATTAGAGAACACAAAAGTTTATGCAGAGAAATAAACTAGCATTAAATAAGTGCCAATCTTAAAGACTCCATATGATGAAAAGCTATCTTTTCAAATCTTTAGCTTTAATTCTCACCCACTGGTAAGGTTCAATTGAGCTATTTTCAATAAATGGCTCGCTTCACCTCTCAATATCAGCTGGTCAGTGGATACCAACAGGCAATCAGCTGCTAAGGATCATCCCAAAGCTGGACCAGAACCACAGTGAAGTATAGAATATCAGCACAACACATCACTGAGATGTGCTATTTCAGCAAATAAAAAAGGTGAGGTTATCCAGTGACTGTCTTGGAAGGAGTTTAATACATTGATTTTCTTCCGAAGTCCCAGCTATCTCTCTCTCCAACACACTTCCAGTAGCACCCATTTGTTGTTAGCTTCTGATTTACAGCTTGACCAAAATTACTGGTGGCATCAGCAGGTGGAGGACAGCTAGATTCACACTGAAGTCAAACACGAAGTTATTGAACAAACTTTGAATTATTCCACATGAACAAGCAAGCCTTTTTGGCCTAACTGAAATAAATTTTAGAATTAAGTATTTCAGACAAAAGACGCAACTGCAAAAGTGGGTTTGGAGGACAGAGAGAACGAAAGTCTTGTTTTATATATTTATATGTGCATATATATATATATATATGTATATATATATATAAATACACACTTCACATACACACACAAACACATACATCTTTGAGACACTGCAGAAAGGGGATGGTATCATTAAAACATCCATAGCTGGTACAGCCAGAGACATTAAATCATTCTGGAAAAAGAAGATTAAAAGACAGAAGGCTGGACACATAGGAAGCAACACAATCTAATTCCTTAACAAATTCTTTAAGGGTGGGGCAACAGCTTCCCCCCCTTCCCAAAACCAGGTGACACGTCTAGGAAAACAACTCATTCTCAATTTCATACTAAGAAGCACAGAAGATACAGTGGAGGAAAAAAAAAAAAAAAAAAAAAGAAAAAAAAAGACTCAACACATGAAGGCAAAAGGTAATAAAAGGTAATTAGGGTGACAATAGTCATAGGTTTGCAATGCTAATGAAGTGCTTTTTTTTTTTTTTAATAGTCTCTTGGAAAAGAGGAGTGTCTAAGAACCAAAGCAAAAAAACAAATACCATACTAGCTCTATAGCCAGAAGCCACGCAGCCAATAATCATGGCACTGCGCTCATACCTACACGACTTACCACAGGTACAAAACCAACACAGCTCCACCTCTTTCAAGACTTAAGCAAACATCTCAGAGCACACGGAAGCATGTGGATTTATCAACATGACAGACAATTTGTCCTGCCTAATACGTTTCATTGTATGGCATAGTATTATAGGTACAGCAGTAAGTGGTTCTGCTGCACAAAGGACAGAAAGCCTAGTAAAAGACCAATTTGATTGCATGTGATTTTTTTTTTTTTAATTGCCTGTAAATTAAAGGGACACAAAAAGTTGGTGCATAGTGATTGCTAAGGTAAGCAAGTAATCCAATTAACCACTAGTAACACCTGATACATGTAATAACTTCCACTGGAATCCATAGGATAATTAGCAGAAACTCTGTAGTAGAAGAGACTGTATGCAAGTGAGGACACTTCCACAGCTGAATAAGTAACACAGACACACGTGTAGTGATTAATATCTTAGAATAACTCAAGTAGTAGATTTCAACTTTAAGCTCTAAGTTAGGAAAATATGGCATCCAAATCCATGATGAACATCTTTGTGATCATCAAAATCTCAGAGAAGTTGTACGAGGATCATATAGCTTACTGTTTTTGTCATTTAAGGAAAAAAAGTAACTCAGCAAACAAGAAGTTTGAAATCATAGATTAATTTTGAAATAAGAGTAATAGAGATAAAGAACTCACAATTATGTGCTTAAATTTAAATGGATAAAAGCCTATTTTTCAGAATCACAATCAAACAAAATCTATAGTCTGACAGCCAAGGGAAGAATTAACTGAGTAATAACAGCAGCTTTTAAATCTTGCCATCCACCTCATTAGCATCACGAAGGACACTGGAAAGTACAAGCCAAGATCATCTTCAAAATGCTTCTAACACCTGCAGTATCAAGTGTCACTTGTCATACTCAAGACAGGTCCAGATAGCACTAAAATAAAGGTGTGTGCTCCAAGACAATACTGAAAATCCCCTTCAGAAGCATTCCATTTCTACATTTCTCATGCTGACAGCCAAAGGAGCTGTGCTCTCCAGATATGAGAATTAATTTTCCCTGAATGGCTCTATGTTTGCTTATTATATATTCATTCTTTCAAGACATGAACCATTCACTTTGACTGCAGAAACACCTCTCTATCAAGGAGAGACCTGATAAAATGCTTTTTTGTTTAAGTCTAAAACCTAGGCACAATGTAAAGATATCAGAAACTATTCACTTGAAATATAAACAAGAGAACCAACTAATGAATATTCAAACCCTAATTTTTAACTTCCATACCAAATGAATCAACATATTCTCTCAATTCCAGTCAAGTCAACTCTTCAAATTTTGGACAAGTGTCATTTCAGTTTCTTACCTCTGATGCAGGACCTTTTCTGCTACAAGATTTATTTCCTTCTTACACTTTCAAAAATATTTTGCTTAAAAGAAAGATCAAAAATTTTTATGAACGCATAGTAGAAAAGACAGACTGTGTACACAGAAGTCCACACACAATCTGCAAAGTGAATCAACAAAGTCAAAACTAAGTATAACCAAGGTAGTCTGCGCAGTGCAGAGACAGTCTGTGCCCAAAACAAAGTGGTGTTCTCCCCAGTGTGACAGCAGCAACGTCCGTAGTCAAGGTTAAGCAGTTTATCGTGTTGTTTGAGAAACATAGAAAAAGACAACAACTGGAAGGGTCCAGCTGTTTCCCAATCTGCACAGCTGCTCTTGTAAGACTCCTGATCAGAAGTTCCAGCAACATGTGCTTGTACTGCAACTTTTGATGAGGGTCTCCGGGTTCAACACACAATGACACACCGTTTGGCTTCACACACGCCCACGGCAGATCCCTTAGACTTAGAAATACCACCATTAAACAGCTCAACCAAAGAATCACATAGGATGAAGACGCTAAACGATCTGTTCTCTATTTGCACACCACACAGTTGTGCAGAAGTTACTCTACATTTCCTGATTACGTGTTACTGTAAGTTCTCCAGCAGCCATTTAATCAAGTCCCTACCATCCTTCCCAACTCTGCATGTGCTATGCGAAGCACCACTCCGCTGTACCAGGATGTTTCAAACCTCATTTCTCACTCAGGGCCGAAGACGGTCAGTTCCTGCCACCCAGCTCGCACTTCACAAAGCGCCATCCCCAGAACGAACCCCGCGGAATCGGTTACAGCCCCCGGCTCCCGACGTTCAACCCACCGCCCGGTTTCTCCTCCCTCACACCGTCCCCACAAGAAACCTCCTCAGCCGCCGGCGCCCACCGCCCGCCCTGCGGGACTCCGGACGGGAAAGCGGTCGGCCCGGCCCGGCCGCGCAACCCCAAGCCCCGCGAACCTCTCCGTCCCGCCCCGGCCCCGCCGAAAGGAGACGTGGCAGCGGCCCGCCGAGAGACGCCGCTTCCCGCGCGCAGAGCCGCCCCGCTCCTGGCTCCGCCGCCGGTACCTGTTACTCCAGATGCCGTACAGCAGCTCCACGAAGGCGAAGGAGAGGTTGAGGCAGAGGAAGAAGAAAAGGTTGCGGGAGGTCTTGTCCGCCAGGATAGACCTAGCAGGGAGCGCACGAGGGTCACGGCAGGGTCGCCGCGAGGAGACGGCCGAAGGCGCAGCCGCTCACCCGACAGCCCCGGCATCGCCCCCTCGGCCCTCCGCGGGGGTTCGGTCGCGGGCCTGGTCCCCGCGGCGCTCCGCCCGGCGCCTTTACCTGAACCATCCCGACACCTTCCTGAGCAGGTTGAGCCGAGGCGGCTTGTACTCGTCGTCCTTAATGGAGAGGGGCAGCATGGTACCGGGCCGCGACGAGCGGGGCCGGCGACGGGCGGGGCGGGAGGAGGCCCGCGGGCGGCCTCGGCACTCGCTTCCGGTCTGCCGCCCCGCGCCTGCGCGGCCGTGCGCCTGAGGCCGCGTCGGGGCGGGGCGCTTTTTGCCGAGGTGGCGGCGCGCTCCGGCCGCCGGGGGGCAAGGTGGCGTGGCGGCCGCTTACAAAACTCGTAAGCCGAACGCGCCCTCTCTGGTCCCGCGTCGGCCGTCCCTCGGTGTCACGCTTACAACGCTTCCGATGCGCCGCAGTCCCGGCGCGCGCTGCTCCCGAACTGGCCGTCGCGGCGTCCCTACAGAAAGCGCCCGCCCCGCCCTGCGCCCCAGCGGGCTGCGTCCCCGCAGGCTGCGCCACGGCCGAGTTCGCGCTGCCCGCGGCGGCCGGCAGGAAGCGCGGGCCGCCTACAGGAAGCGGGCGCGGCGGCGCTGCCGTGCTGGCGCTGGCGCCGGGCCGTCCCCGAATCACCGGAGCGGCCGAGCTGCGGCGCCGGGCCCGGCCGTGCGGGGCTCAGCGGGTAGGCGAGGCTGCGGGGAGCTGCGGTAACGCCCTTGGAGCGAGGGTTGAGACGCTGCGCGTCGGCTTCCACATCGTATTTGCGCCGGTTCTGGTCCGAAGGGGCGTCCCGCAGGGGCACTGTTTTGTTTTTCATTCCGCGTTACGATTTCGTAACTTAATTGTCAAAGCTGATCACGGTGCTTTCCGACTGGGAAGCACTGCAAAGCCGATTCGGCAAATTTTGTATTGACACCTAAGTAGGTACTACGAAACACAACTCCTGCTCATTATTAATATGCAATTGAGTAAGAAGATATGGAAAGCTGAAAGACTTCATTATCACAGTTAACAACATTTAGATTTCCACGTGCTTTTACACTTGTGCTGATTAATTGTCACTGTAGTGTCGTTAAGCACCGCTGGAACAGATGGCAATGGGAGGAAGAGAGCTTAGGGCTCATCTCTGTAACTCACATATAACAAAAGCATGCTGGGCTTCAGCAAAGTGCAGCAGCTGCTGCCAGCTGTTCCTAGGAGCACAGCACATCTGTATATACTGTAAGGCAAAGCAACCAAAACTGGGGTTAATTTCAGGAATGGTTTCAGCAACTTCTGCAGCTTCACAAATTAGATAGTGATAGAAGTGGACCTCAGGCTCTGGAAAACATAGGAATGCTGACTGAGGGGCTGAGGGCATACATGCATTATTATGTGGGCATTCGGTCTCATCAACTACTGTGAAATCCCACATTTTAAAAACTATTAAAGCAATTTCTTGCTCTCTAAATTGTCATAGTACCATTCTTAAATGAAAATACTCCCTTTCTTTGTTCAACTGGTTTTAAAAAACTAAAATGATCTCCAACGACCAAAGAAACAAATACAGGTTTATTGGGTTATTGCCCTGTATTCTTGTGTAATCCTTACTTCCTGTATTTGCACTGACTTGCTTTCCATTCTGCTACCTGGCATACCCAGTAGGAAAAACAGGCTGTGTGCTTTAAGTCTGTAATGCACCTGGTGCATTCAGTGGGAAGAGAGCCTGAAGGGGATGGGCCAGAAATAAAGGAACCATTACTGGGACTACTTGGCTTAGTGTGGTAACCAAATGTTTTTTATCAGTGGTTCCTGGTGAACAAAGTAATGCATTTGAGTTCTTTTCTAACCAACTGGCTTAACAGTTTGTTTTGGGAAAGTTCGTTGACAGGCAGAGACAATTACTCATCTGAGCAATGGGAAAAGGGATTGAGTAATTGTCAAGAACATTCACTGCAATCAGTAAGCAAAAAGAATGTTAAAACACAAAAAAATACAGAGTAGCATGGATGTTAGCTGTTTATTGTCAATTGCAATTCCTTTTAATTTCCAGCAGATTAAAAGAACACAAACGAATGTCCTTTAAAAAACAACGGGGAGGAACCAATCCCATCTGGCAATAATGAGGTAAGTTCAGTTTTTTTAAATAATATAATTCATATCAGACACTGTCTATGCACTGTAGAAAAGTGATCAAAACTTGTGAAGAAACAAGAATTTTAACTGCTGAGACTGTCCTGGATCACTTCATTTAACTAGAATTCTGCAATGAAAGCCTGAAAATATAGCGGAGTAATGTGTAATATTTACAGGTAAATAACTCCTTAGTAGTAGCTTAGAATATTTATCACATATTCAGAGCGTACCAACCACACAACTAGGGGAAGAGGAACAGCTGTGAATGACACATCACTTGAGGTACTAATAGTGGGATGCAGTGACTGACAGGTCTTGCTGAGGCCTCAAGAATTGAGACCACCTAAAAAGCTCTTAGTAGAAGAGACTACCTTTGTAGGAGCCTCTTTGTAAAGTCCCCTATGTAGCTCCAAAAGCAGGAGAATCCAGAAACCCCTGCCTTCTACAACAGTGGCAAAAGGTGCCTCAGTAGCAGGCACCAGATCTCCCCTTTCCCAACTAAGGCACAGCTTGCACAGTGCTGGAATCCTGTTCAAATGTTTTCTATTTTCAGGTGGATGTGTTGGTGAGGAGTATGAATGTTCAGTCAAATACGCTACTGAAAAATTAAGAGATGGCAATCTAAAGTATTACTATAAGTTGACTTTGTATTTTACTGTTCTGCAAAAATTAACAAAAAGTGAATGTAAAAGGCAAGTAGACATTAGAAATTAATTACCAGAAGTATGTCTCAATAGAGAAAATTGACTAAAGTCCTAAAATTCTCTTATTATATAATCATTTGTTTACCTGAATGAATTTAGGGTTATGCAAACTTTGCTCAAAGAAAAAAAAGATATCTGTATGTGGGATTAATAAGTTTTCCTTTTCTATCACTTCTTTTAAAGGTATTTTTACCTCTGTAAGCTTCCAGGAAGAGTTATGGGAATCCGCCTACTACGCTTTACTTCTGTGGTGATCATCATCTTACTTCTTGTGGCAGGAGCTTTAACAGCTTTGCTCCCCAGTATCAAAGATGACAAAATACTTAATTTTAAAAGGGAATCAAAAACCCAGAGTCAGCCTGCAGAAGACTCATTTACTCTTATCATGCAGACATATAACAGAACTGACCTACTACTAAAGCTATTAAATCATTACCAAGCCATCCCCCATTTACATAAAGTAATTGTTGTGTGGAACAACATTGGAGAGAAGATGCCAGAAAAGATGTGGAATTCCTTAGGTCCTCATCCTGTTCCTGTTATTTTCAAAGCTCAATCTGTAAATCACATGAGGAACAGACTCCAGAACTTTCCTGAGCTGGAAACAAAAGGTAACAAGCAAGTCATCTTACTTTTAGTTGTATTTTTATACATAAAAACTGTATGCTTGGTCATCCCACAAAGAAGCAAAATTGCTCTTTACAGGTTCTTAGCAACACCAGGTGAAGCATTTACAGATAGGCAAAGAGTAATATAAAGAAAGGAAGGAAGGAAGGAAAACTGAACTGTTAAACTCACCCAACTGCCAACAGAGCTGCTCTGACTACACAGCACACTCCAGAAAGCAGCCTAGCCCTAAGAGATATTCTCTCTTTAGAGGCTGGCCATTGTATGAGCCTATGAGCTCCACCCTAGATCCACCCCTTATGGTCAGGTGAGCTGCACAGGTGCAAACAATTTGCCTGTACTTGGGCCAGCCACACCTCTTCAGCAGGAGCCTGACCTAACAGTTCCCCTACAGTGCTATAAAAGAGAGACAGTCTGAGTTGTGCTTTGTAGTAAGCCTTGGAATTGTTGAGCTGTTTAATAGACTATAGATGATGCAAAAGTGGCTTGTGTAATACTATTCAGGTAGTAGTAGTAGTAGTAGTAGTAGTAGTAGTAGTAGTAGTAGTAGTAGTAGTAGTAGTAGTAGTAGTAGTAGTAGTAGTAGGATAGGAGCCTTCTAGCAAGAGTAAAAGGAAAAGATGCCTTATGCGTTTTGTTGGGTTTTGCAACTATATCTGTTCTTTATTGCACTTGTTTAGTAAGGGTAAGTAGTTCAGTTTCTCTTCTTATGTTAGTGCAAACTGAAACTCATAATGTACATGTTTTTTGAGTCCCTCAATTTAGACTTATACCATTTGTTTGATTTAATTCATTAATTTTAAGACAAGGTTCTCAATCCTGTTCTGCTATTCAGATGAACTTATTTTCCCACCTGATTTTTTTTATTTCAAACCACATATACTCTTTAACAATATTTTCCCTAGTCTTTGGCTGTTCATCTAAATATTCTTCCCAAGCTGTTTCTAGGAGAAGCACAACAGTAAGGCCTATTTGTTTCAACTGGGGGGGGGGGGGGGAAATATGTTGCATTACAGACCTAGCATTACTTGTAATTAGTAAGGGTAATTTTACTTACTGTTTTCTTCTTGACGTACCTCAACCTGTGTCTGCTAGTAGGATATTAGAGACTTCATTTTCCCCAGTGTGTTTTTTTTTGTTGTTGTTGATTGTCTTTTAAATGGTAATAGGATTGTGCTGACTGTAAATGTAGAGACTTTAATGTCTCTGGAATTGGGATGTAAGAATATCTTTTCTCTTCTAGTAGTCTTTTGTTTGTAACTTAAACAAATTTTTTTTTCATTTATTATTAATCGTATTAAATGTTGTTAATGCACTTTATTAAGTTTGCTTATCTAGATTTGGAAATTGGGAGGAGGTGGGTAAAAAATTTTGTACTTAAAATTCCTTATAAACTTCATTCACTAAAGAATGGTATTTAACTTCTTAGCTGTATATTCCACAAGACTAATGAAACGATTCAGATCGTCAGTATAGCTTACTTGTTATAGGAACTTCATAGTTTGTCAAGTACTGCATTGCATGCTGTGCCCATGTATTTCAATCCTTTAATTAAACTTTCTTTTTCTTTAGCTGTTTTAATGATGGATGATGATACACTCGTCAGTGCTCATGACCTTACTTTTGCTTTTTCTGTTTGGCAGGTAATGTTTTCTACCTTAGCAGGCAGCATTTGTGAGTTACAATTGAGATTAATGGCTTTAATTAGAAAGAGTGGTACTATATCATAGTGTTCTACCGTTGCTTTTCTTAAGTTAGATTTTAAAATGCACAAAGATTAGATAGTAGAACTTGCGGAAATATTCTTCTACATTCCTTATATTTGTAATCTGTAGTTTTCAAACTTGCAATTCTTCTTATATATGCACGCATTAGCTGCTGATTGCTAAATTTAAGTTATGAGTATGCTTCAAAACACAACCAAAAGTGTTTTCTCTAAGAGTTGATTGCCAAGTATGCAGCTGCAAATTGAAGATACGTGTGGAATGAGGTGAATTACATCAATTTTGTAAAACTGTACTTAAATGCAATGCTCCTGTAGGTTGAAGGAGCGTATGCCAACGGTTTGGTTCTCTTTTCTGACTGTAAGCTTATGCTCCTCTCATTTAAAAAAAGAAAAAAAGAAAAAGATCAAGTCCTTCATGAAAATATGTAATGTCTTTTGACTTCACAGAGTGCTCTTCATTTGTGTATTTTCAATTTCTTTTTCTTTCAGCAATTTCCAGAACGTATAGTGGGATTCATTCCTAGAAAGCACATTTCTACTCCTTCAGGTGTATACAGTTATGGCAGCTTTGAACTGCAGAACCCAGGATTTGGAAATGGAGATCAATATTCTATGGTTCTTATTGGTGCAGCGTTTTTTCACTGTAAGTATTTAGAAGACTTTCAAAGACAACCAGAAGCTGTTTACACTTTAATAGATGAAACTCAAAATTGTGATGATATTGCCATGAATTTTCTGGTAGCAAAGAATACTGGAAAGCCTTCAGGAGTGTTTGTGAAGCCCGTTGATATAAGAAATTTAGAAAAAGACACTAACAGTGGCTATTCTGGGATGTGGCACCGAGCAGAGCATTTGTTACAGAGATCTTACTGTGTAAATAAATTGGTTAATATTTATGATGGCATGCCTTTAAAATATTCTAATATAATGATTTCCCAATTTGGGTTTCCTAATTATGCCAATCACAAAAGTAAAGTATAAACCAATGATTTAAGGGGTTAGATGATGATACTCAGTGAGTTGTACCAAGTACAAGGAAAGTGTGATTACTGCATCTTGGCTCTCCTTACTTGCAGCCTCTGAGTTTCTTTCATGTGGCATTTTATGTTGTTCCCCCCTCCCACTCTTTCTTACCAATCACCAAGGTAAATTTTCAGAATTTTAAATATATGTATATATATATCTTAATGGGTAGTCATAATAAAAATCTTCTTCTTCCCACAACCTGAGAAGTGTTTACAACTAGGCCACTTCTTCAGAAACATGCAGACAAAAATGTACCCCTATACTTCAGTGATCATAATCTGACTCTTTTATTTTTACTGTGTACCTAGCTAAGTAAACTTAGTTTTGTTTTGTGTGGAGATGCTTCCCTCCCCTGTTTTCCTTCTCCACACATTTCCTACTGAAACTGTAAAAGGGCTACAACAAACAGACTAGGCTCCTAGATTGCTGTACAAAATTCCTTTACATCTGTATGTTCCTGAAGCTGCTGTGAAGGCAAACCAGAAGAATACCCAATCAAAGCAGATCTCAGTCCTAAAACCATTGCATACAATATCCACTACTGCTGAGGCAGTGAAGAAGGATTTCTTTGCTACAGCTTTATTCTTATTAATAATTCTCCTAGAGTTGCTGAAACATTGTAAACAGTTGAAAGGTAAAACTTAGCAATTGGAAATGAAAGAAACACTTGAATACATAAAATATGAAAATTATATATGCAGTCAAATCCATGAGATTGTTTGTCAATACTATCTTTAGTATTTGGTTTGCTTTTGGTATATTGTGTGTATTTTGTTTAAAAAAAAAAAAAATATGCCCAAGTAAATCTTCTAAAATGTTTTCTGTACAATTGCTAATGAGAGCATGCTGCTCTACATTTTTTCTAGTTTGTACATTTTGTAATATTACAGGTCTACTTTTTTTTTTTTTAAACCAGTCTTTCACATGAGCAATTACTTCTTGCTTTCTTTTATCTCTGTTTTTGGCAGCTATGACAACAGAATCAAAATGTGCAATGAATGTGTAAAACAAAGTGTTTTAAGATACAGTGCTATGTGACAGGGCTGGACTATTATCTTTGAATTATGTGGCTCAATCAGTGGCAAGAAAGAGCTATTTTTTAATAACTTCTGTTTTATTAGAAACAATGGTAACATAGGAAAAACTTTTTTGCTGTAGCTATTTTGTGGTATCGATGAAAAACAAAAAAGCAACGTATTTTTTTTGTATCAGAAGAATCAAATCTGCCATCAAATTTGGGCTTAATCCCACCTACATCGGTTTTAATTTATTTTCAGTACCAGTTCAGAAGTTGGCAATCAATAACAACTCATGTCTACAATACATCATCTACACAATTGATGTATGATTATTTTTTAATAAGTTACCTGGACAAAAACAGTCTTTGAAAAATGTGACATTCTTACTGCTGTTTCTGGATATGGACTCTGAGTTCCTTTCTGGAGAACAGAGGATTCTTTTGTTTTGTTATATCAGTGTCAAAGAATTTATGTTCAGTAAAGACTTCCTAATATTTCTATAAGACTTAAGGAAAAAAGCAAGCTTCATATATCAGCTTAAAGTCTGTTCACTTTTGTTATAAATTGTATTTACTGGGCTGTAGTGATAAGGAAAATTCGAACAGAACTATGTGAGATTTCTAGAAGTGCAACTTGACTAGTAGTAGCTTCCTGCATTTCATTCATTTATTGGTCATCTTTAATTTCTGTTCTGTGCAGTATTATCTGCTACATTTTCACTATTTTAGTTGTATTTTACCTTTTAAATTGTGAAGTGAACTGTCAACTCAGCCAAATCTTAATCTTGGGTTTTTTTTTTTTTTTTTTTTGAGGAAAAAGGGATTGTTTGGGGTTTTTTGTTTTGTCTTTTGTTGTTTTCTTTTTTAGCAGGGAGCTCTTCTGTATCAGTGAAGGAATGAATAGAAATAGAAAAGCTTATGTTATTCTGGTAAATTTAATTTGTACCTTTGTCAAATAAAATATATTAATAGAATTCTTCTGTATTTATTTCACAAAGTTTTGACCAAGTTTTCAGTGTTAGATGTCTGAAATAAGCTCATAAGCTCAACACATGAGCAGTACCAAGAGCTCATTTAAAAATAAAAAATATTACAGGTATTTGTTGGCATATGGTTATTTAATTTAGGTAAGGTTTATGTGTGACAACTAATAGTACAAATATATATTAAAAAAAACCACCACCTGAAACAAGTGAACCAAAAAGTTCAAAGATCAGGCTTCGGGTCTAGCCATTATTCATCTTGCTTAGGAACAAAAGAGGTTTCTTCGTTTTAAAAACTAATGTTTTTTTTTTAATAAGTAATGAATTTGTCCTTTGATGGTTATAGAAGTACCTTGATATTCTTTTAGATATTTTACTAACAATTTAAATATTAACAATTTTTTTTATTGTGGTAAGAGCTTGTGTAGATGTCATTTGGAAGTATTTGGAATCTAAATATTTATCAGTGCCTCTGAGTTTTCTGTAGAAATCAGTGTTTGTGTGACATGGGTTTTATAAGTGGAATCTGAAATACATACTTAAGGAATCTTTTACTGAAAAAAAAAATCAAACTACTTTCAAATTTTTGATAAGTACAATTCTGTAATTATTAAAGAGGATTCAGTCCTGAAATTGCGATAAGGCTACAAGATTGCTTCTATAGTTTAAAAAAAAAAAAAAAGCCACAAGATGTCACTGTAGGCTTGATCAAATGTTAGAAAGAGCATTTGGAAGTGATTATAATGAAAAGTATGAGGTGAAAACATTCTGAAAGCATTTTAAAAGGCTTAGTCATACTATAAAAGCTAAGAGGAAATGCTACAACTAAAAATCCATTACTATTTAGTACATATTCACAGGGGAGAAGAGAGACTAAGTACTTGGTGCTTAAAATGTATCTGTGCTTAAAATGTATCTAATTGCCACTAACTGTATCTGCATGCAACCAAAGGAATGTTTGTGATCTTGCCGAAGACATGCAAGCCATCTGTGAGAACAGTTTTTGATAGTGGGACTTCAGTTGCTAGCTGTGTACAAACATATAGGTATCCCAGATATACCAGCCTAGCTAAGATGTATTTGCAAAGAAGAGACTTAAGCACAAAACTAGCTTCGGATTCTAGATACTGGGTATGAACCTTGTTACACTGTTCCATCTTTCCTTCTATTGGCAAAGGTACCTCAACTGAAGTTCCTCGGAGTGTGATCATATGTACTCTCAACACATAGTGTGGCATGTGCTTAGAAATGTATGTTGCACTGACTTGTAGAGTAGGGGGGATGCTAGGAAGGTATGGTTATGAATCTGCTCCTTAGAGAATTTCTACCCCAAGACCTTGATTGTGAATGAAGTATGGAGTATGTGATTTATTTAAGGATGAAAGTGGAAGAGAGAGGCATATTAAAGGATGAGCACGTTGATTTACATGACAAGCAAACAATACCCCACAACAACCTTTTTCAACTTACTTCTAACACATGACTATGGCCTTGCAAGCATCTTCCACAAAAGAGTACTTAGAGTGATGTTCCTTACCTAAGTTCATGGAGGTTCAAAGAGAATCATATTTGTGTTCTGGAGCTATGAAGAAAAAAAAAAAGTGTAGGAATGAAGATATGAATTATTAGAGTAGTACCAAAAATAAGTAAGCAATTGTGAAACTAATAAATGCATGAGAAGTGCTTCCTGTAGTATTTAAGAACAGATTAAAAATGGAAGAGGGGAGTGCTTTGCAGTGCTGTTTGGCCTCACCTGCAGCACATAGAAGGGTGTGAAATGGCAGTAACAATTGTTTTTGTTACAAAAAGTGGTGGCAACAACACAGACGTCAGAGCTGAGTAGGACTTTATGTTGTAATGTCTTTTTTAAGGTATTTCTCTTCTTTTCTTTGGGGAAGAGCAGCATCCTTTTTTCTTCTTATGAGAGCAGGTCTCCTGTGCAGCTCTCTGGTGTTTGGGTGTGGGGATGAGCTGTCTGTGGCACTTACAGGCTCCTTTTGAAGAGGTGGGTGGAGGAAAGGCTCTTCTAACGGAATGCTTTTAAAAGGTGGTTATTCAGCAGTTGGTTAATTAAATTATAGGCTTGTTCAGCTATTGAGATTCAAGCCCCAGAAGTCAATCTTTCACTTAAAAAAAAAAAAAAAAGCACAAAACAAAAAAAAAACCTAGCATAGTGTTACCACAGACTTAGCAGCGTGTGCAAAATGTCTTGCCGCTGCGTAGCTTCTCAGTGAAAGGGAATCCCGACCCAACGTGTCAGGAGTTCTACACGCTAAGGCTGCGGTGCCCTCAGGGCCCCGTTCCCGCCTCGGAGCTCCTCACACGCTGCGCGGACCGCGGCGATCCCCGGAGGCGGGAAGGGGCGCTGTCGAGGTGATACCCGCCCGAGGGGCGTGGCCGGGAGCAGCCCTTTCTTCAGTGTGCGCTGCTCATAGGCAGGAGAGTTGGGAAGGCAGCGTGTGATTGGTGGATCTGCTTGTCCATCAGACGAGAAGGTAGCGCCTGCCGGGCCCGGGCTTCGCAAACATGGGTCCCAGCTCGGGGTGTGAGGAAAGGGCTCTCCTGGCCCCGCGTGGTACTTCCCTATGCCCCTTCCTGCACCGAGGCGGCTTTTGCCCGGCCCGTCGGCTCGCTCACGTCCACTCCTCGCCGGGGAGGTACTAGCTCGGCTTGCTCCCCGCCGTCTCAGATCTCTCTAGCCTCGTACCGGAGCACTGTGTTTCTTCGGGCCGCACCGCAGAGCGCAGCCCCGGGGCAAGGAAGGAGCAGAAAGGAGCACCGCGGGGCGCGGGGGCGCCGTCCGGGGTCGAGGCTGGCCGCACTCCAGCGGGACGCGGGCGGAGGGCGGGGCCGTGCCTGGCGAACCCGGGGAGCTGAGAGGCGGAGGGCGGGGCCGGGGGGGCCGAGGGGGACGCCCGCCCACCTCGGTCCCGGCCGGCGGAGACAAAGGCTCGGGATCGCCGTCGCTACAGCGCCGCCGGTCGCCTGGTAACCGCCCGCGGCCGCTTTGTCCAGGGGGCGGCTCCCAGCCGGCCGGGGTGGAGCTGAGGTCCCTGCGGGCTATCGCCCGCCCGGCGGCTCGCCGCGTCCCGAAGCCGGCTCTCGCCCCCGCTCCAGTTCCTATGCGGGTGGCGGCGCTCCCAGCAGCGTGGCCCGTGGCGGGCGGTTCCTCTGGGCGGCGGGTCACGTCCCTGCGAGCGCGCCTCGGCGCTGCCCCGGAGCGCCATGAGCTCGGAGCCGCCCCGCGCCTCGCTGCTCCGCGCCCTGTTTAAGATGGAGCCGGCGGCGGCCGCCTCCGAAGTGCTGGGGGGAGCCTCCGAGTTCGTGAAAGGTGAGAGCGGGGGCTGCGCTGTGCTGCGTTGTGCTGCGCTGCCTCCCTCGGGCCCCCTCCCCTTCCTCCCGCCGCTCTGCGCACTTGGCCGTCTCCGTCGGTCCCTTGTGCCTCGCGGTTCTCCTGAGCCGCCCACCCCGCTGCCACTGTGTGGAACGCCTCAGTAGTTTTTCCTCCGCTGCTTTCGGCGTGTTGCGGGTCGGCACCTGTTGCTCAGCGGCGCCTTGCGCGGGGCCCGAGGCGGCTCCCGAAGAGGCCCGACGCAGCGGGAGCCCCGGGCCGCTCTGCGCAACGCGGCCGTCCGCTGTTTTTCAGATCGCCTCTACTTCGCTACTCTGCGGAATAAGCCCAAAAGTACGGCGAACACCCACTACTTCTGTACTGACGACGAACTGGTCTATGAGAAGTAAGTGTTAAACGGCTTTTTTGGTTTAAATAAAAAAAATCTAAAAATCCTCCGGAGCTACTAAAATAAGTCCAAGCGGTGGCTGAGCAGTTGCGTCGTAGCCGATCTAGGGCAGAGGGTATCTGCGCTGTCAAGCTCTATTATAAGTTGGAGAAGACCTCTTAGGACTAATTACATCTTATTAAATGGTGTCTTAAATAGAAGGTTGCTTGGTGTGACTGCGTGTGAAAAGACAGATCGTTCTTGTGTTCTCCTGTAGCCAGAGTATGAAGTGATCACCTTTCTTGCAGAATCATCCAAATGCAAAACTTTGATTTGTGTTTGAATCACATCTGCAACTTATTTCAAAGTTTTTAGATAGTGCTTCCTGTTGGCTCTTGTAGCTTTTTAAAACAGAAGAGAAAGCATTATATGAAGTAACAGCTTCTACTGCCTGGAAGACACTGAAAGAGCAGGAAATCAACAGTTAATTTGATTGTGGGTGGAGTTCTACAAAGAAACATGAAATATACACAAAACAAAGTAATAGCTCTGTGCTGTAGTTACAAAGTCATTGCTCTAGATTATCTTCTCAGATAGCTGTTCTGCACAATCCACCACCTGACAGAGGGTTTACACTATATAGTATTTGTAGAGGGACAAAAAGAAATCCTTTCATGAAAAATGCAACTTTTTTTTTTTCCCCGTGGGTTTAAGAGTATCAACCACATCCTATCCCTGTGCCTTCAGTGCTGCTTTTGTGAAGGTGCATAGTAGTTTTCCTCAATTTGTGACTTATCTTCTATGCAAAGATTACAGTTCTAGGTTGTGGTTTGCTTGTTTTTTTTTTTTTGTTTTCGTTTGTTTGGTTTTTTTAAACATGCATTTGAATCTTCATTGTCTTCAGCTGTCTATTTTTTAGTGGAGTTCCTGATGATCCTTTCTCAAAGTTAACATTTGTAGCTTCCTGTTTGGGTTAGGGGTGTTTTATGTAACAGTCATTGAAGCAAATTCAATAAATGTACCCCTTAATCCACGTATGAGCTAACCATGCAGTAGAATGTAACATAATACCAGATAAACAAGATAAAGAAGTCTTTGCTTTCTTCTATTATCTTCTAGGGTGTATTTAAGACTTTAAGCATGTAACTTGTGGTATACTTTCTGAGTGGACACTTTGTAGTCTATTGGGATGGTTTCTAAAGGTATCCTATTTTTTATATAGTAACAGTACTCATCCTGTTGTATTCTCAAAATAGTAAAATGTAATATGAA